GAAAACACTAGATGGCTACTAAAAAGAATGAGGAGGACCTATATGAACGGATCTGGAAAAATGTCTGAGTTATATGAAGAAAAGAAAATAGAAGATCAATATGTTATGCATGAAGCAGGACTCCGTTAAATAAACACGGGATGTAGCTGTAGCAAGTGTAAATAGATACAGACATGTTGAAATATGCTAAGAAAAGTAAGTTATTTCTAGGGATGGAATTGCAGAGGTAGGGAGATTTGATTTCTCTCTTTATGTAACTTTAAAGTAGTATTATTTTTAACTTTTTGACATTTTATTAAATTGAAAGATTTTAAATTTAACTTATTATTCAGTTAATTGATTAAATTTTAGCATGAGAGAGCACCACACGATCACTATCACTAGAAAAGTCAGTGAAAAGCACTGATTGTCCAAGATTGCAGAGAATTTATCCTGCTCTCTGCCACCCAGGGCCACCACTCCTTGACTCTACCTTTGTTCAAGCCTCGCCTGTCCTCAAGTTCCAGCCACGCCCTCCCTCCTCTCTGCTGCTTCCTGGGCAGGAAACTGATCTGTGTCCTTGGCCTTCTTCTAGGAGGCACTGAACACATAAAATGTGTGCTGTAGGTATTTGCTGAATGAATGGATAAATGATAAACTCCTCTAATCTTGGTTGCCCAAAAACTTTCTCCCTCTCCTTCCTACTGTTCATGCCCTCTAATTCTGGGTTCCTCAAACTATAGTTTTGCAGGGTTTTCTGTAGGGGAAAAAGTATGGGGCAATAAGTTTAGAAAATGATATTAAGCATTCAACCGTTAAACAGATTTCTTTGCTCCTGGAATTCTCAGACCTTAAATGTGCTAATGAGCTTTGTGAATCTCAGGGGTTGGTAAAGGGAAAAAATGATTACATACACCATTTCTCCGGTTTATTTGAACACGTGGTCTGTTTCCTAAGGAATGCATGTTAATGATGTCCCCCAAGCCACGAGTGACCTCCTGAACAACATTTTGAAAAGATTAATCTAAGCTATCCTGTAGGTGGGTGTTAAATGCAGACTACCCAGCCTGCCAGTGATTCTTTATAAGTATTTCTAACTTTTCCAACTAGATTGTGACTTCTTTGAGGGCAGAAATGTGTTCTTTATCGCAGCACCCTAGTGATTAGAACACGCCTGGCACATGGTGGTCATGGCGATGGAAATGCTGCCACTGCTGCTGATACAGGAGGCATGAGACCTGCGTGATGGAAAGGATCATCCGTTCTCCTCAGCTGTAAAGAATGACGCATCTTTGTTTTAGTTTCAGTTATGTTTCTAAATAAGGATGTAGGCATTTAAGCAAACATTTAGCATAAAATAGGACTACTGCAATCAAGAGGATTATGAAAACAACTCCAAGGTCAGGAGATGAAAATAAATACATGAACTATAAAGGCTCAGCAGGTGCTTTGGTCAATCAAGCCCAAAAATCTCATTATTAACGTTCAGTGCTCTCATTTTCAGAAAGTCTAGGGCAGAAACAATATTTTTCTTAGAAAATACAGTCAAAAATGAAATTTCTGGCTGCCACAGTGCAGAGGCATAACTGTGGGGAGGGGAGGATGTCACAGCGGCCCTCCCAGCTGTGTCTGCTCTCTGCCCTGCCCGGGCTCTTCCTGCATCAGTCCTATTTGGTTTCTTTCCCAGCTACCGGGCAACCACAAGGAGCAAATAAAGCTACACAGAGCAGTCCTGCGTGCTGGGAAGTATTTTCCTAGTGAAAAGCCAGCAAATATCTGTTACTGACCAAACGTCACACCCCCTGATATGGACTGACTTGTGTCTGCTCAAAATACATATGTGGAAGCCCTACCCCCCACTGTGACGGTATTTGGAGATGGGGACTTTAGGGAGCTAATTAGGGTTAAATGAGGTCATGAGGGTGGTCCCAAATGCGACAGGACTGGTGGCTTTATAAGAGGAAGGGACAGCCGGTCTGTGTGTGTGTGTGTGTGTGTGTGTGTGTGTGTGTGTGTGTGTGTGTGTGTTGTGTGCGTGAGCCCACACACAGAAAAGGCCATGTGAGGTCAGAGCATGAAGGTGGCCATCTACAAGCCAGGAAGAGAAGCCTTACCAGAAACCAACCCTGATGGCACCCTGAAGACAGACTTCCAGCTTCCAGAACGGAGAGAAAATAAACATCTGTTGTTTAAGTTACCCAGTCTGTGGTATTTTGATATGGCAGCCCGGGCAGATTAAGACACCCCTCAGAGTAAACAGGGATGGCTCACCGCAACAATGTAGACCCTGATCAGGACTTTGACAGGATAGCTGGGTGGGATGCCTTGCTGGATTCTCAGCTGCCCACTGTCCTCAATGCTGGACTCCTTGAAGCTTTTGTAGATGCAGAAGGAACCCTGGAACCACAAAATGTGACTCATTGAAACAAGATGGTCACATGCCCCATCAAAAACCACAGAAGGCAGAGTGCTGGGAGAATGAGCACAGTGGACCCGTGGGGCCTGGGCTGGGGCCACCCTTGCCCCCTGGGTGTCCTTAAGCAGTTCACATAACTGCTTGCCTCTGAGCTTTTTCATGAAACATCAGTGAAGCACTGTTCATACAGAAGCACCCTCCTCACAGGGCTGCTGTGTGAGGAACATGAATATGAGCATCAGATGGGATACTGAGTGCCTTTTATGTTGGGGGGTGCCAAGCTAGTGCTTTCTCCCATTGTCTCATTCAATCCTGACTGCAGTATTCCTATTTTCATATGTTACAACCAAGGCTCAGAGAGGCCAAGTGCATAATCACGAAGGTAGTTAGCATTATAACTAGGACTTAAATCCAGATTGGCAAACAGCAATACCCATACTATTTCCAACATGCCACACTGCATGTGATTGGCCCAGTGTGCATAGGTTCATAGTAAGGCAACAACTGCTTTGTGATGCTGACACCGTAGGTCTGCCAGATGAAGAGCTTGAGTTATTTGATTAGTTTAACCATCCAACTGGTAGTCTGCATAGATCACATATTTGGTAGGTCAGGGGTGGGGACAGCAATGTAAACGTCAGTGATCCTTTTAGGTAACAACTCTTTGTCTCTTTATATTCCACCAGACTGAGTTTCAACCCCTTTCACTGGCCACAAGCCAAATGCAGTTGACCCTTGAACAACATGGGTTTGGATTGTGTGGGCCCACTTACAACACAGATTTCTTTCAATAAATACATTTGAAATTTTTTTGGAGATTTGTGATGCTCTGAAAAAAACATTTCATTTTCTCTAGCTTACTTTATTGTAAGAATACAGTATGTAATACATACAACATACAAAGTATGTATTAGTCAACTATTTATGGTGTTGGTAAGGCCTCCAGTCAATAGTAGGCTATTAGTAGTTAAGTTTCTGGGGAGTCAAGAGTCATATGTGAATTTTTGACTGTGCAGGGGTTGGTCCCCCTAACCCTGGTGTTGTTCAACGGTCAATTGTATGTCAAAAGACTGGAATTATGTTTTGTGGGGTTCTAGAGAGAGTCTTGGGTACAGATTAAGGATTTTCCTTATCCACATCTCACACCACAATCCAACTGACAGAACTGAGTCTTACCTGACATTTATGAATAGTAGAGCCAAACAAAAGGGTTATTTTGAACCTGCCTTAAACTTTCCAATGACTCTGTCTCCATCGAGGCCATGGTCATCTTCTGTAGACTTGCCTCTGAAGAGCTCAAATGTTTTCACCCAGTCTTCAAAATTATTGAATTCACTCTCAAGATTACCATCGTATATCTTTCAGGAGAAGGGAGAAGAGGGGAAGAGTATGCTCAGAGGAAGGAAGGTCCAGGATTGATTTGATGAGAAATGCCACAATTCTCCCAAACCAGCCTTGATATATGCCCCTTGGAAAAACCTCAGAGGCCACTATTAATTCATCTTTAGCAAAATAAGCAATATGATTGACTCAGCATTCCTAGAACTAACTACCACTCTGAAATTTATAAATCCTTTTAAGCTTTGAAATTCTAAGAAGTACAGCTAAACCAAATTTCTAAAATATCTAAGTATAAATATGACAAACCATTTTTAGCTAATTGATGTCTTTGGTTATCAGAGATAGACTTGAATATTTTGAGGACATTCAAATCAATAAATACCTTTTAAGCATCTAATTCTTAATACAGATAAGGTGGCAGAATATTTGTTTTTATTATAATATATATAAACATGAATTTTCCAAGCAGGAAATTTTATCTATACTTTAGAAAAGCAGAATTGAATTGAGCTTTAGGTTAGGTAATATAATTAAGTCAAATTTCCTATCAAAATTACTTATCTAAATTTATTTTCTAGATATGTAATTTTCATACTCCCAATTTTCATGTCCATAAATGTGCCTCTAGCAATAGCCTCTGGCTAATGGTAGGACTGGACTAACAGAGATGACTTTAGAGCTAAAACTCCTGCTGTTTTGAGTGTGAACACATGTGCATGGTGGTATCAACTTCCAGGAGGTGAGCCAAGGAGAACTCATACGCCATAGGCTGGCTCCAGGCTAATCTATGTAAGTATGTCCCTTCTCCCTGTGAGGATGTAGAAAACGGGAAAATTTGCAAGCTCATTGTCTTGGCTTGCATGCTTGTTAAAGTTTATTTCTCTGCGTTGTAATGAAGACAAAGTAAATTAGTTCGGACAAAGGCACTACTTTGAAGCACTAACAGAACCCATCTTCTGCAGTTTCCCGCCCTATTCATGCCTGCAATGGCCATGGCCACTGTGTCCGCACACCTGCAAGACTGCCAAGTTGGGGATATCCTGTTTGGGTTTCTTCTTGACTATTTTGTCCTTCTTCTTTGGCCCGGCTTCTATATTCACCACCACCTCCTCTGGTTTTGCCTCTGTGGATATTTAGTGGAGACTGTTAATTTTCTCAAGTCTGTTGAGATGAGAAGAAACAAAGTCAAGCTCCTCTTCCCCTTCCCTCTGGCATGTGTTATGTCCCTTCTTTCTAAAAAGAAATAGTAACATTTCCTTTTAAAAATTCGCTGGAAAATTGCTACAAACAGCCTTGCAGTGTGTGTGCTACAGGACGGGAGGAGATGCTCCTCACAGAGCAATGGTACCAGCAGATGCCCTGCTGGCCTGTTCGGGTATACACGGGAGCTCATTAAACGGCACAGAGAGGTTAAGTAATTTGCGCACTCATCCAAGTAGCCAAGAACAGACCCGCGATGGACTGACTCCAAAACTTAAATTACATCCCTTCTCAGAGCTGCGTAAGGGCTTGAGGTTCATCTAGTTCAGCAACCTGAGGTTCAGATAGGTTAAGGGTTTTGGACAAAGTCACGAATGTAGTCAGAGAGATCACGCAGTGAGTTTTAGGAGTAGGCTCTAGGAAAATATGGCTTGAGGCAGCCTTCCAGCTCTGCTGTTTTCTAGCTGTGTAAACTCGGCTAAGTTACTCAGCCTCTTTGTGCCTCTGTTTCATCAGCTACAAAATGAAGATGGTATTGCTTATGACATGAGGTGGGTCTCAGCATGAAATATGCTAATCAGCAGTGGTCTGCGGAGCTGGGCCTGGTTCTGGTTCTCCCACCTCTATCCCTGCCACCTGCAGCAGCACTGGTCGCTTGCTGTTACTGTGGCTTTCAAGCCAACTGTTGACTGGAACCGAGTTTGTGGTCATTTCTAATCCCAGGCTCTTTCATTTCAACTTCTGCTAAACTGTATCTGTCCAGTCCTTATAAACTGAGTTTTGGAATCAAAATCTAGGTCATCTCTATTAAAGTTTATTGTGTTGGTTTTGACCTCTCCCCCCAGCTTTCCCCTATTTTTATTCCACTGTTTCCACATTAAGACAAGAGCCATAGGTTGATTTCAGCAGTGGCCTGGAGGCAGGAGACCTGGGCTCTGGGATTCTGCAGCTCAAATCAGCTCCATGACCTTTCTCAAGTGTTATCAACCTTCCAAGATGGTCTCCTCACTTGGGAAGTGAATAGACTCTAACATGCCTCCCACTGCTTCCATCCATAATTTTCTCATTCAACTGGCCTTATTCTATGTTCAGTGTCCCAAGAACAGCTACTTACCCATATTGCCTGTTTTCTCCTTGCCCTCCTTTTCCTTTAAGAGAGAGACAAGATTATCAACATGGCCATGCCTCATTCATTAATCCTGACCACTAACAGCTCTAAGTCAGATCTCTCAGCCCTCTGCATTCTCAGAGATCTATTTTAGAAGCATAGGCAAATGGTCCCCATGAAACCCCCAAGTGAAGCTTCACAGTAAGACCTGAGACCCAAGTGCAGCGAGATGCCCTGGCCTGGACAAGAGGTGCCCACACAGCCCAGAAGACTGCCACCAAACCATAGGCTTCCTGTCCTCTGCAGAAGCTTCCTCGCAGCTCCTGGAATACCAACCTTTCTCCCCACTGTGGGTGCACCTCCCTGGAGCATCACCTCAGGCTGCATGGTGAGCTTTATCTGCTGGCAGGTGGGCCCCAGGGGCTGGAGAGGTTAGCTGGGAGAGGGGAAAGGGCTGAGCATGCTCTGGAAGCGGTAATGTCCATTGTAGCAAAAGGAGGGCATTTACAGGCAGGGATTAACACCTGGTTTGTTTATTCAACTGTGTATCAATATTCATGGACAGTCCTAGATGAAGAAACTATGGTCTTTCCAAACTAAAACATCAGAAAATTTCTATTCAATTAAATATGATGATAACATATGACTAATTTTGCTATCCTTTTTCACATGGGATTGAGAAGATACACCAAACTCACCCCTGAGCTTTTGCCTGAATCTCTAGACACACTCCTCATGGTTCTGTATAACTCAGCCCCTTACTTGTCTGTGGGCCCTGGTCCTGCTCAGGCAACCTGCTGATCAGCCCATTTGCTAAGGCCAAGACCTCTGCCTTTACTTTGGTAGTTTCCCACATGGACTTAGAATCCTGCTGGAGACCTGGAGCCCTTTGCTAGGGTATCTCCACATGCACCTGAAGCTCCCATCATGGGTGCCCACCTGTCCAGAGCCCCCACTTCCCCTGGCTGAACCTGCCTGAGTCTGACTGGTGGGCAGATTCTCCAGGTGCTGTGCTGGATTGAACATTCTTCCAGCATTTACAACAGAGCATGTGTCCTAAGGTCAGCTCCAGCTCCAGGGTGGGGATTTTGCAATTCTGGATCCCTGGTCCTTCCGGGCTTTGAACCTGCCTGCATTTACAGAACCACACCTGAGTAGGGTCTACATATAGTGGAATCTAAAAGGGAACAGTGTGGGATGGGGGGTGGCAGAGGGTACAGAGCCTGCCTATCGAGTCCCTTAACTATCCCAGTAGGGGCGACACTACCTTCTGTGCTTTCTTCAGGGAGGCGTAATATTTGGACCACCAGTCAATGACGTTTTCGGCAGATTCATCCGCTATGGTCCTCTTTCTCCTTTTGGTAGACCTCTGGGAAGACTTCCTGACGTCCTGGAAAGGGAGAGGGGATGGATCATTAGTTAGGCCTCCTGGGTCTGTGTGCTGGTGGCCGACCAATTTACTTAGGAAGAGAACACACAGGAACCCTCTGGGACGTGGATGGAGTAGTTATATGACTTCAGTAACTGATAGTTGAGTAATCTGTTTACCCATTCATTCATTTATTCAGCCAACAATTACTGGGCAGATGTGAGGTAGAGTCCTTGACATTGCAGGTGTAAGGGGAACTAGGCACAGTCCCCACTTTAGGACACTTAGAGTTCAGGAGAGGGTCAGGCAGGCTGCAGGACACTATGCAGCTTCTAAGCAACTAGTATACATTTTGTGCTTCTCAGTTCCTCAGCTACTGACTACAATACCTCCTACTTCACTGTTGTGAGGACTAAGTGACATAAAGGAGACGATTTCCCTTTGGCATCATTTCTGATTTGATTGTGTGCAACAATGTAAATGATGAGGGGACAGGAGAGGCATGACACGTATGTGGCAGAAAGGAAGCATTTTGGGGGAAGACAGTTGTCTCATGGTCAACTCACCATGAATTTGTCATTCATTTTCTCTCTCAGACACCTCCCAAGTACCTATGATGTGCCAGCACTCTATCAAGTGCAGGGGATACAGAGATGTCTAAAAAATCATCTTTGACTTGGTAGGGACCAAGTTTTATGTTGGCAACACACACTTACACAGAGAATTCTAACAAAGTGGCAGGTGAAAAAAAAAGTGGTGGATGGAGAGAGCCCTGCAGGTGTCATCGCAGGTCATGATGGGCATGGATGAAATGGGGACAGCCTGCGGCAGGAGAGCCTCAGTCTATCTTACTCTGCTTTTTATTTCAGCCCTTATCATTAGCTGGACAAGCAGTCCCATAGGACTTTCTTATAACTGCCTTCTTCTTTAAGTCAATTGATATACCAAGATTTTGCACTCAAGTGTATGACTGAGATTAATCACATCCTTGTTTTATGGTTCTTTGTATACTTGTCCATTTCCCTTTCTAGAATCTCAGCTAGTGGGATGAGAAGTCTCATTTCTCTTTAGAATCCAGAAGGTATATCTCTTTTGTCCCACATGACCTTGTACAAAGTAGGTTGTAAATATTGGCGGAATAGGCCTAGATGAGGAAACTGTTGTCATTCTAAGCTAAACAATTGAGAAGAGTTTCTGTTTAAATATTACTGTCCTTTAATCTCACATACATTGACTATCTGATGCTACAACAATGCTGTGAAGTGGGTATCAATATATTCATTTTACAGCTGAGGAAACTGATGCTTAGAAACATGAAATTGCTTGTCCGTGGTCACACAGCTGGTGGGCAGGAGGACTAGTACCTAAAGCCTCCACTGCAAACTAACGAGCCTTGGAGACATGAAGAGGGATTACATTCCGACCTTGGCTTTCCCATCCTTTGGTAGCTCCAGGGCTGCAGGTTTGCAGTCAGGTTCCAGCATAGGGGACGAGTCAGGGACGTCAGCCAGGCTGGCTGGCTGAACCTGCATGGAGTCAGGTACCACTGTAGGAGGTGACTCAACATCCACAAAGATGTGATCTTCTGGGGGCTCCTCGGAGACACTGAGGGTTTCAGAGGGTTCGGCAGCTATTAGCGAATCTGAAACATCTGAAATGAAAGTACTTCAGGTCAGGAAACTGAGCTGCAAACTGGAGGGGTCATTTCAGGGACCCAATAATGGAAATCAGAGAGATTTGTATTCAAATATGGCAAGTTCCTAACGTTTCTGAACCTGACTTTCTTTACTTATAAAACAACAGCGAAAATACCGACTGGGGATAAGTGAGATCACGATGTAAGGCATCTGGTGTATAACAGGTAATCAATAAATGGTTGTCCTTATTCCTGATCCCTGAGAGTAATTTTAAATAACTGTGGTCATAGGGATCCTACCCATCAGGGTTTAGGGCACAGGTCCTCTGCATTGTCTGCTCCCTGTGTGTTAACTCAGGGAACCCTTGGAGGCTGCAGAGGTCTGAGAACTCCCAAGAGTAGGCAGAACTCGGGGCACATGAGTACATGTGCTTGTCCGGGAGCAGGAGTATGTCCCCAGACTTTATGAGATCTGAACCGGACGGCTGATCCAATAAAAAGGTTGTAACACTGTCCTTTCCTGCCAAGAATCCTCTTCTGCCTATTTTGTGCTGAGGAATTCAGTACTTAGGAACATTGCCCACTGGGTAGCCTCCACGCTGCCATGGCCTCCAGTTTCCCTCCCCTAGTTGGTGACTTTTCAACAGAAAATTCAATTCAACAAATACTTAATAGGCATCTTCTCTGTGCTGGGCACAGAGATAAATCAATGGGATAGAATGCAAAGCTCGGAAATAGACTAGGGATATATGGCTACCTGATTTATGAAAAAGATAGCACAAATTAATGGGGAAAGTTAGTAAATTCTTTGGGAGAAAGTGGTGTATCAAATGGAGAAAGATGTCTCTGGATCCCCACCTTAAACCATATACAAACACAGATAAATTAAAGATCTAAATGTGAAAGTTAAAACATACCACCAATAGAAGAAAATCTAAAATAAGATCTTTGTGACCAAGGAGTAAGAAAGGGTTTCCTAAGCAAGAACCTAAAGGAATAAACCATAGTTTAAGATTCAGATTAAACTAAGATTTATGAAGTTTATGATTACATCAAAATTAAGAATTTCTTGACAAAGATTGGGACCACGGGAAGGTTAGCAGTTACGAGTAAGAGAAGATGTGAGAAATATATATAATCTACAGGATATTAACATCTAGAATTTACAAAAAGAAAACTAAAGGAAATAAAAACATGTAAAACATGGGCAAAGGATATGAGCAAACAAACCACAGAAGGGAAATCAAAATGGCAACAAGCATATGAAGAGATGAGCAAAATTCAGTAGTAATCAGATAAACCCAAGCTAAAATAAAAAGGAGAAATTACTTTATATCCAGCAGAATGGCAAAAACCAAACAAAAACAAAAACTCCAAAGTTAGATAAAAACGGGGAAGAAAATGGTACTACAGAGGCAGTAATGGTAGGAATGTAGGCTGGTGGACTGGCGTAAACCGGAGTGCCCCCTGGTGGTACTTAGTGAAATTACATGTGCACATTCCTTGCGATGTACTAATCACTCCTGGGCTGTATGCTCCAAGGAAAATCCCACCCAGGATCCTCCCTTGCGAATACCCACGGGGACACTCAACATAGCACTGTTAGTGGAAGTGGGGGGTTGGTATCATCCTAGAAGTCCAATACGAGGGGAAAGGAAGGGCAAAGTGAGTGGGGCAGACGCAACAGGTAGTAATAACAAGCTAATGAACACCCAGCAATATGGGTTGATCTTAAAACACAGCTTTGAGTCAAGAGTAGGAAATCAAATGACGATTATAGCATCATATCCTATATGTCAGTTACATGGATTTAAATTTTACAAGACTCAGCAGTGTGGGGCCTACAGTGGGGAGGGGCCTGGAAGGGAGGATGGAAAATAAGGCATTGGAGGCACTGGATAAAATGAGACAGAAGCCTCCAACAGACCGGTGATCTATAACAGGAACTGAGAAGCACAATTATCTATACTCTGTGCACCTGAGATCCAAAACAGAACAAATTAAAGTCACATCAAGCAAAGAAAAATGTCAGAGAATTGAAGCAGGAGGGATCTGGAGCCATATTCAAGGAAAGCTTCATAGAAGCTTCAGTCTTAAAGTCAGAATTTGGTAGCTAAAGAGGTAGAAAGGACTGCAGATGCAAATTCTCCAAAGATCCACTTGATGGGTGGGATTCGTCTTTGTGCGGGGTCCCATAGCTGGCACTGCAGACCCCATGACTTTATAGTCTGCAGCTCCAGGATCTAGAAGCAGCTTCCTACCTTGCCTGACTTGGGCTCCATCCACCTGTGAGGCGAGAGCAAGGGGCTCCCTGGATTTACACAAAAACTGCTTCAAGCAGTTGATGGTGTAGGTGCCCACCAGGGTGCTCCTCCCGAAAGCTCTCCAGTCCACCACGCAGATGCTCAGGGGCGGGTGCAGAAGCTCATTCTCAGGCAGCTCCTGCGGGGAGAGGCAGGGGTCAAGAGGGGGCATTGCCTGGGCTGCCCCTGGATGTTGGCGCCCTGCAGATCTATCTAGCAGCAGGACCAAAGCAAGCCGGGCACCCTCCTCCCTGCCTTGTCATTCTACCCATCCAGGTCACCCCTGAAGCTTGCCGGAAGTCTAGAGCACTGCCTTCCCAAGCCAGGGAGTAATTACCTAAAATATGAGGGATGGCACCAACAATTCATCCCAGGTGTAAATTGCAAAAATCACATACTTCCAAATTCTTAATGGCAATTGCCTTCAATACTCTTATTTGATCATTATTTACCAGCAGAACTCTTTATCTCAAATGAATGTTGATCCAGACCCAAGATATAAGACAGGTGAAAGGAGAGACATTTAAAATGGGGCTGAGGGTGAGGGGCCAACACCCTGGCCACTTATTTCTCCCAGTGGCCCCAGAAACTTAACAACGCCCAGTGAGAAAGGTTTGCAAACACCATGTACATCTTTAATTCTAGTCTTTGCTACTTTCAAATAAGTGTCCATTGCAGATAACTGGGTTGGATGAAACAGAGTTTTTTCTCCCAGGTTAATTCCAAATCAGAGCACAAAAATGTATATTGAAATATTGAAATAAACAAAAGCAAAGGTGTCAAAAAATATCACTTTAGGTGCATAAGTTCACATGTAAACTACTGACACACTAGGAACAATTTTTAAAAAATCTAACCATTAAAAAAAGTGTTTACAGTATCTTTTAGGCCAGTGGTTCTCATACTTGAGTGGATCCCAGAATCTCCCCTAGGACTTGTTAAACCCACGGTGTCTGGACCCCAGTCCCCAAATAGTTCCTGACTCACTAGTACTGGAGCAGGGCCTGAGAATCTGCATTTTATACAAATTCCAGGCAATGCTGATGCTGATGAACTGAGAGTCACATTTTGGGGGCCACTTTGATTTACTGTATGATCTACACCCAGAAGCTTTAAAAACAACACAACAACAGTAACAAAAGTCTATTTTATCCCATTTAGAAATTCTGGCTTTTCATTAGATTAGACTATTCTTCCTTGCAGGCAGTGGGCACCCAAACTCTGAAACACCTCCCCAAGGCAGGTAAATGAAGAGGCGAGTCCCATCTGCGGACATGAAAGGAAAGGGCAGGTGGGGGAATGAGGCCCGCACCACTTCGAAAGCGTCTGCCTGGATGCTGAAGTTCGGGTTGTTCTTGTAGCTCTGGATCACACAGGACTTGACTCCTCGTCCCCCGCACTCGATGATGACCTGAGGACGGTCCACAGACAGGAGCTGCACCTTCTTCATTTCTCGGACTCCCCAGAAGAGAACCTGAGGAGAGGACCCACAGAGCTGTCACTCAGAGACCCAGGGAGAAGGGGGCATGCCGCCCCGGCTTAGGGTGGGAAAGCCCCACTCATAGCCTGAGAGCAGTATGCTCTCCAGGAAAGGACCGTGCAGCCCCCCGAGGGCTCTGACCCATCTGCTATGTCTCCTTCTACTCCACAATGCCCCTCACCCAAGGCAGACATGGACTGCCATGCTCCACTGCCTTTTAGCCCTGAAGAGCAACTCGGTCCTTCCCAGAGCCATACCTCCACTCGGTATGTACTCAGCACTGGCCGAATGCTGGCAGGAACTGGGTAGATCTGGGTGACGTCTGGCAGGTCGATGGGAGGGAGCCCTTGCAGCCCAGATGAAGGGACCTACCACACAGAACAAGTTCTGGTTAGAAGGTCGGGAGAGGCAGGAGGATGCAAGGCGCCACAATCACCTCATCCGTAGGCTGTCATTGTTTTAGCAGAAGCAATGGGTCCAGCTTAAAATGTAACCAAGATCATGCATCTTATTGTACAATTATTGATTGACAAATAAATGCACATAATCACAAGGGTAACCAGCATTCAATGAGCACTTAGGATATGCCATGAAGTTAATAGGTAAACAAGCCTTGAGTGAGCTCACAATATAGAAGGGAGGGAAGAAAAGACAAGTAAATAGATCCTTACACCCTAACATGGGAACTACGGCCATGGAATGGACAATGGGCTCTGATCAGATTCTGAAACAGAGACTTACTATTCCCCCATTACACACTATTACACACTAGATTCATATGTAATCACATATGGACTCCAGCTCAATCAGCAAAAACAGAAAATGAAGTCTTTTGAAGGCAAACATCCAGGATGGAAAGGCATCATTTCCTAATTGTACTTTATTGAAATCTCACACAAAGGGCTTAGAAAGTTTACTAAGGAAAGGGTCCTTTGCACTGTGTGGGCCACCCTGCACTGCCGTCAAGACCTGGTTCATCACATACATCTTTTAAGAAGCCATGCCTGATTTTATCCTGGCCACTGTGGCCATTCTCCCACCCAGTCCTTGGAACGTGGTACAAGCTTAGTCACTCTGCTGTGTGACCCTGCATGAGTCCCTTTTGCTCTCTGGGCATCAGATCTGGGGCCAGATGACCATCAAGCCCTTAGGAGTCACTGTCTGTGAAACAGTGCTTTGGAGCAGGAGGTGGCCCTCACCGGACTATTGGCCTGCCCTGCCCAGAGGAACCAGAGGAAGTGTGTGTCTACTTCACCTCACTCTCCAAGCCCCTCCAGCGGCACTCTGTATCCAGATGCTTATTGGCTGACTGACACATTAGCTCCATATACTTGAAAAAGCTTAACTGCTCATCAAAACCAGCAAAGCACAAACATATCAACATTGCCTTTCCACAGACATATTCCAGTTGGCAACAGCAGATATGGTTAAGCTCATTATAAGAAAGCGCAGAAAAAGAAGCCAGCAGACGCTGCAAATGCCCAACAGGGCTGTAGACAATGAAGCTGCAGAATGAACCAGACCAGACAAAGGAGCCCAGAAATGCTGAGAACGCGTGCTTGATACTGGCAGCAGAGAGGTGAGCGGTTCAGAGACAAAACATCACTTCCCTGAAGAGCTGATCGCTCCTCCAGCTCCAGAGGGGGCAGCATAAAACAGCTGTGATGGGGGCACAGGATGGTGCCCTTGGATGGGTTTTTTTTTTAAATACCATATGTTTCCTCACCCCAGGGCTGCCAAAATGTCAGCCTGGGAAATGCCCCAAAGCAGCTTTGTTCCACACAGGCCTGAAAGATGCCCTTAAGAGTTCAACATGGGCCTCGTAGGATTCCACAACACAGTTGGGGCTTGAGTGACTTTGCTCCCAGCCAAGACTAAACACTTTCACAGTGCAATGGATCAACTGCTGGCTTATAAAACTCATAAAACTGGCTTATACACTCAGCACATGGGTCCATAAAGATAAAGAATTGTCATGAAGGCAAAATGTTAAGAATCAGGGGTGGGCAAGTAAGTTGGTCCAGAAGCCAGATGGCTCTAGTACCTCAGTGGGGACAAAATATCAGGACCTCAAAGGAGGTCCAGCTGCAGGATCAGGAAAAGACCTACGTGCAAAATTCAATTAGTCAGTTTAAGCAGCTGCCACTCTCAGGATCATGCATGACCCTCGTCCCAGCCCTGCTCATCTGAAAAGTCACTGACGCTCAGAGCCATTCTCCTTTCTGTCTCCCTCAGCCCATCATCTTATGTATATATACTTCTCATTCAGTGCACTGGGTAGGCACCATTCTTGGGCCCCATTTACTTACTAGCTGTCTGAACTTGGGAAAGCTGTGCCGTGTCTCTGAGTCTCAGTTTTGTTATCTGTAAAGTGAAGATGATGATATCTAATTCATGAGCTGCTGTGAAGAACTGCTGAGACAGCATGCAAAGAACTTGCCACACTTCCTGACACATCGGAATCTCCCCAGGAGGAAGGGGACGCTGGAAATTGACTAATCCATTCACAGATTAATGTTGATCTTCAATTGGATTCAGATGGTCTAGGATCACTGTTGCCTCAAACTACCTCAGAAGCAAACTTACATCCTCTCTCAAGGAAAATGGTATCAGCCTGGGCTCAGATTTTCTCCACATATTTTTTATGAAGGAGTGAATGAATGTGTTTGAAAGTATTGTGTTGAGATTTGATTACACATAAAATGTTATTCTGTGCATGACATGGAAATGAATCTCACACCCTTCTAATCCATGAGCCAAACCTGTGGACTCTACCTTTGATAAATACCCAGATTTCTCTCTTCCACAGCTGCAGTCTACAATCTTCCAAGTCCCCAGGTTGCCAATCTGGATCGCCGGAAGAACCTCCCAATCAGCCTCCCTGTTTCTCCTCTTGCCCCTTCTGCATATACTCAATCCAGCACCCATAGTGTTTCAAGTCACACATTATGCAGAATCCTCTCCTGGCTTCCTATCTTTTATGGAGGAAAGGCCAAACTCCCTGCAAGGCTCCTCTCTATCATTCCCTCCACTCTAGTCACATTGGCCTGCTTGCTGGTCCTTGAACATGCCAGGCTTCTTAGGCTTCAGGGGCTGGCATTTGCTGTTTCCTCTGCATCAAATGCTCTTTGCGCAGGTATCTGTATGGCCTATCCTCTTCTCCCCCTTCAGGTTTTAACTTAAATACACTTTTGCAGTGAGGATTCTCTGGGTGCTTAAAATGTTAACCCTGCCTCCTCTCCCAACACATACAGGACCACTCGTATCTCACACTGCATTCCCTTTACTCCTTAGCATTTGCCACACTGTCGTCACATTATCATTTACAGAATGTTGTCTGTTATCTCCCCTCACTAGAATCTAAGTCCCATGAAGGCAAGGAGTTTCTTCTGTTTTATTCACTGACAAATTCTTTAGAATGTGCTTGACACATGGTAGACATTCAATAGTATTTGCCTGATTGCATGAATGAATGAGTGAAGCAGTCCTTGCCTTCCCAAAATTTGCAGATTAATGAAGATAAGTCTGTAAACAAGTGACCTTACCATACCCTGAATTAAATAGAGAATAAGGCAATGTGCTGTAGGGTGAAAGAAGAGAAACTATTTCATGTAATACAGGTGGGAGTGGGGAGTCTCTTTTTCTGAATTTTGATGATGACCATTTTCCTAAATAAGTAAGTGCAGTGTGGAGGTTTGGGTGGGAGTAGGGAGGCACTTCAGAATGAAGTAACAGCAGGACTAAAAGCAGAGCAGCACATTTGTGTCGGGAGGTCAGGGAACTGGAAATAGTCTGGCATGAAGAGGCTATACTGAGTGGAGTGCAGTGTGGTGAAATGTGAGCTGACAAAGCAACCTGAAGACAAATTTTGGGAGAGTTTAAGTGCCAGTCTAGGGAAATTTGACATCCCCCTATTGGCAAAAATAAAAAAGTTTCATAGTGAAAGATGGGAAATCCTGCATCTTCTCAGTCTTTACCATAGTGTCGGACACTTCAAATCCCCAAGAGGGATGTAATATGAAGCATTTCTTAAGGTTTCTTTTCACTGTATTTGGTGTTACAAAAAATAAACTTTGGGAAATATTTCTGGAGATAACAAGTAGGGAGGCCTTGATGATTTCTCAAGAGGACAGTGGTATGGTCTGGCTTGTGTTCTGGAAAAACATGGGGAATGAAATGCACAGGAAAAAGATAGGGAGCTGGAAGACCAGGAAAGGGGCCGATGAGATGGTCCTGATGAGAAACAGAGTCCATGGAAAAGGGAAGGTGGAAGCCATTCCAGAGGCAGGCTGTGGATTTAGGCAGAGTGAGGAATCAAAGCTGAATCTGAATTTTCTAGGTAGGCAGAGAGTCTGAGGAACAGTGGGGCTGTGAACCACGACGGGGAAGACAGCGGGCTGCTGGCGTGGGCAGGGAAGGAAATAGACACGGTGCATCCAGCCTGGGGCATCACAACCAGGGCCTCAAATGCTTCTTCAGAGACTGGGAAGGGTTTTGGTAATGGAGATGGAGAGGATGAAGTAAACCATCCACAGAGAAAAACACAGCAGCTGGTGACAAATGAAGGCATTTTCCAGCCCGACTTCTCAGCATGTACAGAGCCTCACGCTAAGACATTCACGCTGATGATCAAATTACTTTTTGAACAAGTAATCAAATGAGAGGAAGTCCTAATGAAATCCTAATGAATTGTATCTTTTAGGCTGCCTGCCCTGACAATGCTTCTCGATGAACTCAGCTGTCAGGAAGGAGAAGCAGCAGGACCCCGCCTGTATGCTCGAGGTGGAGGGTCGCAGGGTGATAGGTGGGACCCTGGAAGCAAGGGAGGGCTGAGCTGTCAGGGGGCCTGGAGGGACCAGTCAGCCGGCCCCTCACCCATGGATGAGGGCGCACAGGCTCAGGGCACTTGAGGAAGCTTCCTGCAGTGAAAAGAATAGATGGCTGCATCCAGTTCAGTTAACCTTGAGCCTTAAACTTCTGACATGAAAAATGGGAGCCTTGCACTAGATTGAGTTTTCCCAAGTCAGTATTCCTCTACCACTTTTACCACCTGTGCTATTACCCAGTGAACATTTTCACTGAATATAGTTTTGTTTTCAAAAAGGAAACTTCAGGCTGCTAAGCATAGGGCGTACCCCTTGCCATAAATGAGGAAATTAACCTTAAAAAGAGAGCCACTGAAAACAAAACATGTTATTGGCGTATGTAATGTGAAGCAGTTCTTAAAATTTCTTTTCGCTATATTTGGAGGAACTGGTGTTCCAAGAAGAGACTTTGGGAGATACTCCTGTAGGTAACATTGATCTTTTTTACAGGAACTGGGCCTGAAGCCTGTGCTCTTTTGTAAAAAGAAAGTTGGAATGTAAGGGAGGTATTATGGATGGAAGGGCATCAAACCAGACTTTCTTCTACAAGTAGTTAGAAGGATCAAAAAAGGCAAAACTCCATTTGCAACAATGTGGGTGGACCCTGAGGGCATCATGCTAAGAGAGATAAGTCAACAGAGGAAGACCAACAGAGAAAAGTATGATCTCACTTTCATGTGGAGTCTAACAAGGCCAAACTCATGACAGCAGAGCTTAGACTGGCGGTTGCCAGGGGCGGGCTGAGGGATGGGGTGGGGAAGGAGATCCTCTCCCTTCTTCTCTCTGTTAGGAATGCTTGCCTTCAAGTTACTCTACCAAGTGAGAATTTTTTTCAGTTGGGTATCTGAAAAATCAGCTTTTCTACAGAAGGCTCGGTCTGACCAGAGGGTGAAGCGCCACCTGCCTGCAGTGAGTGGAATGGCCAGGAGAGGCCCCTCTCTGCTATGGGCTCACCTGGTCACTTCTTTTCCAGGTCCCCTCCAGGTCGACAGCCAGACCAGCAAGTCTTGTCTTCCCTGCCCCGACAGCCAGGCTGTGCTTTCTGAAAGCATCTCCTGAGACTCAGGTTCCTAAATCCCCCTATGTCCAAGTGGGGCTGAGTGGGAGCTCTTTGTCCTTGGGAAGCTGTGTGACACAGTGCAAGGAGAAAGGGCCTTAAAGGTCTGAGTTAGCTCTCAGCTCAAACATCAAGTAGCTGCGTGATGAGATCAGTCAGTCAATTATATTTACCCTCACTTTGCTCTGTAAAATGGGATTCATCCTATTTCACCAGGATTAAGGGAGGTTCCATGTGGTGAAATGCATGTGAACCACAAATGTAATACCCAACATGTAGGGACTACCCACAAGCATCTGCTGCATCCTCTGTCCTGTCCTCTCGTGGTCTGCACAGAGCTCAAGGACTCGCACAGGGGCTGCTCAAGCACTGTTGGCCAAATCCACAAGGACCTTTCATCCAGGGCCTCTGACGGGCAGCACAGGGCTCTGGGAGCAGCCAGTGTTACCTGAGTTCCTTAGGGGTGCCTCCTAGATCACCAGAAGGAAACACCTCCAGACTCAGGGCTGCAGGGAGGCACCAGGCACTTCACTGCCCAGCACTCCCGGCAGGGCTGCTTCTCTGGCCAGGAAGGCCAGGCAGACGCCTCCTGTAGATGTCGCCTCCGCTTCACTCACCTGCAGCAGTTCAAACACGGCAAGGAGGTCCCCTCCAGAGAGGTTCCCACAAAAGATGGGGTGATAGCACAGCTTGGGTGGCTCATAGTCCTGGTCAGCTAGCTTCACGACAGGAGCAGCCACGGTGGCACCCAGATACTCTGGCTTCCCCTATGGCAGAAAAGAAATGCATTTTTGTCTCTGATTGTTACCTACCTGGTTCGGACCTGCATCAGTGCGATTTTGTAAATAATCTTCACAAAACTGCCAGCCACAGTGTCTCCCTCTTGCTACTGTCTTCCTCTCCTCTCCTGCCAAACTCCTTGTGTCCCTTTCCAAGGCTTGGGGAGTAGTGGGATCCATTCGGGCTCCCAGGGGAAACTCTAAAAGGGTCATCTTTAGGGCTTCCTGGCCCAAGGCTATCTTAGTGGTTACCTCAGCATATGGAGCTCAGTGGAGTGAAGTTAAAAATAATCATCTAGGGTGGACTTGACAGGGAAAAGGAGAAATTAGGTGGCACCAAACATCCTGAAAGCTGTTCAGGGTAGGACATCATTGTGTCAGAAACATGAGCTTTGGGGTCCAAGCTAACTCAAGTTTGCATTCCCAAGTCTGCTACTTTCTAGCTCTATGGCCTTGGGCCATTTGCTCAACATTTTCTGAGGCTCGTGCTTAAAACAGGGTTTAAAATAATAGCTGTTAATGGGGCCATGAGACTGAGGTAATGATGTATATGCTCTGCACAGTGATGGTATACAATTAGTGCTCAATACTTGGTAACAAGATGATGACAGTATCTTAAAGCAATAGAGCAGTTCTGCCCTGTTTTCTTAGTAGTAAAAGAGGATATGAAAACATTTTTGTACATATATATATATATATATATATATATATATGCATGTATATGGGCCACAAGTTTCTTTGAAATATCTGATGGCACCATCTCCTGCCTCTTCACACCTGCTCCCAGGAGCAGCATGGGGCTGGAGCACGGGGCCTCTTTGCTATTTATCTCAGGAACTGCTGGAATGAGGGCATGGAAAGCTCCAAGTGGGCAGGGCTGTGTGTTTTAGTCACTGCAGCATCCCCCCGCACAGGGCAGGCACTCATACATATCTGTTGAGTGAAAGCTGTTGGCTCAAGGACTTCAGAGGACAAGGATGGGGCCCACATTGTCTTCTGGCCAAAGCTGGGTTTTAACAGCTGCCCTGCTTTGTTGCCTCTGGACTCATGGACCAGCACTGGCCTTCCTGGCTACAGAAGAAAGCAAGGCTTAGGTGGAAATAGAGTCTAGTTCAGTCACACTTGTAAGCAAACAAAGCTGCCTGCTGACACCTACTGGTGGGGTCAGACCTGTCCCTACCTTGGGTGGAATTGGGGCAGCAGGATATGAAATGAGTGACCTGCTGCATAGTTATTTTGCCCATGACCTTAGTTGGGAATAATTAAGTAAAATTAATCTTGGAAACTAAAAAGTAAACTGAAATCCAAGCAACCAATTTGCCAAAGATAAACTCATGTCTTAGAGAACCAGCAGACCCTAACGAGGTCATGAGCCACTGCATGGGAGAAACCTACAGACTAGCATCCCATGTGTGGCAGAGTCAGGATCTCATAATCTGACCTGAGGACTGTGGGCCCAGGATGCGCGGCAGCCTATAGGTGTGAAGAGAACTCTCTTGCATGTCCACATATACCTCTCCAGGAAAAAATGCAGAACTTTCATGTATTTTTTTCTCTCCTACATTTCCTTACCTTCAAATGTGAGAATATAAGCAGATGTGAGGATATAAGCTTGTTTTTCTGTGAAGTGTTTGGTTTTGGGTGGGGCCCAGGAAGGCAATCCCGGGATGGAGATCTAGGAGGGGTCCAAAAAGCAAAGTGACAGCAAGAGGAAACCCATGCAGCCCCGTGGGTTGGCTTGTGAGGCGCTTTCCAAGATGCCTGACTGCTGGTGCTGGTTTTCACACAGAACTTATTTAGGATTGGAACCATGTTTCTGGGAACAGAATTGAAGGGTACTTATTTTGTGACCATCTCTCCAGAAAATGTATACTATATACATAACAGTGGAACTTACATTCCACAAATATATACATCTAGCTCCAATTTATGCTGAGGGAACAGGACCCAGAGAGTGAGCGTGAAATGTAGAATCAGAATGTGTATGTCAAAAGCCACACCAGCCACCCCCAAGTGTGCAGGGAGAGTGGACACAGGAGGCTTGGGTGAGGTTCTGGCTCTGTCTCCAGCTAGCTGTCACCCTGAAGAAGGTATTTGAACTTTCTGGGTCTCTGTTTCCTTTTCTAGGAAGCAGGAGAGGGACTCATACTCTCCAAGAACCCAGCTCACCTTCTACAATTCTCCCATCCTATTTTCCTCCTGACCTTGGATCAAGGTCAGAGCTGCCCCCATGCTGTGAGGAGGTGAAGAGGCTTTAGGAAGACTTCTTGGAACAACTGCTATGCTTAATGTATTTGTGCTTCTGCAACTTCCCAAAGAGATAAAGACATCAAAGAAAATAAATAAACCTCTGCCTTTCATTTTAGACTTCCTGATTTTAAAAAGGAGAAAAAGATTTGTCTTACTAATCTAAAACAAAATCCCCCTGTGAGCTTTGAATCTATCTAGTGTTTCAGAACACAGACATGTTCAGAGAGGAAGAGGTCTGATTGACATCGTAAGACAAACGGGACAGAGATGAATGTGTTCACACAGGGCTTAGAAGCAACAACCAAGGGAAAAACAATCCAGTTACAAAGGCTGAAATCTTGACAATACTTATCCATTTTCTTCCAGCCAGGCCAGATCAGTAAACACCTCCTATTTTCAGAAAGCATGACATTTTTATTAAACAGCAATAGGACATAGAACTAGCTGGGGGCTGGGTACAGCTGTGGGTTGCTTTGTACAAGCATTCTATTCCTGAAGATGTGTGGGACAACTGAGTTTTGTGAACTAGATCTATTTTAATTGCAATCTAATGGCATATCTAAGTGAAAAACCCTTCAGTAAAGCAAATGATCGTCACCAATGTCCTGGTTCTGTAAGTCACTGTTTTCCCAGATCAGAATTTTGTCTGGGCATATCTAGAGGCCTGAGCTATCACAGGCTGGTTAAATAAAGTAAGTTAGTTGAACATGGCATTTTCAGCAAGGCACAGTGGGCACGGCCCAGGACACTCACCACCGTGTCGCTGTCGTACAGCTCTACCACCACTAGAGGCGGGGACTCCACCAGCTCCCTCTGGTCTCCATGCAGCACCAAGTTATTGAACAGCAGCATCTGGTTCCAGGTTGGGGAGAGGGTCTGGGAGATGACCTGGAAGGTGGGGCCAAAATAAAAGCAAAAGCTCATTTTATTGGGTTGTAGGGGGCTCTGACATACATTCATCCAACATTTACTCATGGACACAAAGAGAACACATCCTCCTCATTGTTGCTCACTCATTCAATATCCAAGTGACAATGTAAACTAGGTACTATTATGTTCTAGGTGCTAGGGGACACAGAGTTCCTGCCCCAAAGAAGCTTCGATAAGTGTCATGAGTAGAGCCCCTAATGACTAATACCCTATTTGCATACATAATGTGAACTCAGTCCTCAGAGAAGTACTGTGATAATAACAGTAGCTACCTTTCATCAAGCACTGACCATGTTCCAGCAGTTGCACTTTACATGAAGTCTCATTCAAACTTCACAATTCCTGAAGGTGGATAAAGGTATCTACTCACATTTTACAGACCAGGAAACCAAGGCTAATTTACCTAGAGCCAGAAAGTGTCAAGAATGGGATTCAACATGAATTGTCCAGCACTAAAGCCCAGGCTGCTAACCTCATCCACCTCACCAAGTAGATGTTAATATTATCTCCATTTTATGGAAGGGCAAACTGAGGTGGGTGAGATCTAGTGATTCTTCACTTAGAAGCAAATAAAATGATGTCATTAAATACTCTAAAGTGGGCTTTAAATCTAATATTCCTTACATGGAATTCTCCTGGCTTGTGGATATTTATTTGATAGTATTGAACTGATCAGACTTCAAAATCACCTTCACCACTTTGCATGACAATTTTCTTTCTACCATAGCATGCTGTGACATTGGCAGTTGGCTGCACCCATTATATAGATGGAGAAACCGAAGGACAAAGAAGGACAACAACCTGCATAATTAGTCCAGAAGCATGAGTGTCTCGCCTAGAAGTAGCTCAGAGACCCCCCTGGTTCCTTCCAAAAGAAGGGTGTCATTGAACTTGTATCCTCTATTCTATTTAATTGGGTGTTAGGAAACATGCTAGTTTTAAAGACTGGGGTTGCCTGCAGGATAGGCTCCTGAGCAGAAACTGGCCTGTTAATAAGTGAGGCCAGTCCTAGGAAGATGCCACAGTCAGATTTCCTTCTCTTCCAGGCTGTGCAGGCAAACGGGTGATTTCATAGGTGGATATAGCACAGCGGTGGCTGGGTCCTGAGGAATCTCCGCACACCTTACACTGTTTACTCCAGGAGAGATCAGAGAGAGATCTGGCCTGGTCTAACTTTCCAGGCTCCAAAGAACAAATAAAGCTGTCATCTCAGAATTTTATAGCAAGAGCCATCTCTAGTTACGGCATTAAATCATTGGTACTGCGGACAGGAAAGAATTTTTTATTGTTCTCCTTTATGGGTCATAAAAATGCATTCTGCAGTTTCATTCCTTTCTTGCTTTTTGCTTTTAGAGTATTTTATGCCTCAGACATAGTGAGGTTTTTGACATAACATTTCAGAGAAAATCTTAACTTTTGGGGCAGGAAAAGGATGGTATCAACCAACTTACAAACAGGAGTTAGAGAGTTGCAATGCAAAGTAACCCTGTGTCGGTGGCAGACATCACAAAGAACGATGGGTTTTGATGCTGCTTTTAAAAACAGAAAGGTGATCTCTCCTGCAGCATGCAACCAAGTGATAGCAAAGCAATTTAGGATCCTCACAGCATCTTTCCTATAGAAATATTTTGATGGCTTCCTTGGTACTTTGAGTTATAAATGCCACCTGATAAGATTCCAGAAGCCAGCATTCATTCATTCATTCATTTATTCATTCATTCATCATTGATTCATTCAATATATATTAATTCAGGACCCGCAATGTGCTAGGCACCAAGAGAGCATGCTGTGCATAGGGAGTGCTCAATAGCTATCTGCAGGAATAAATGAATGGGTTTTGGGCTGTCCTTATAGTTGTTCCCTGAGTAGAAAGACTACATGGACACCTTCAAGAGGTACTGAAAGGCTCACCCAAATGGAAGTACATCCCCTGATTCTCTGTTAAAATGCCCATGACTAGCCTCATTATGTCAGGGCTTCCTGAAGGGTATCACTGTTGTGGATGACATTATTTGGGAGACCACGGTAGCACTCAGCTAACACTTTGATGGAGGAGTGAGATCGTATGGATGGGGCATGGCTTTAGAGTCTGATACCTGGAATGTTGCCCTAGTTTCATCACCTGTCTTATGACCAACCTGGGCAGGTGATTTAACTGCTCTGAACCATAGTTTCCCTCATTTAAATGGTGTCAGCACCTACCTTTAAGTATTGTTATGACCACTGTCTGAGGTTAAACATATTAAGGGCCCAGCACACAGTGGGTGCTCAATAAGTGCATGTTGCCCACACAACTGCACCCCACTCATCTATTTTTATAAATGAATAAACATTTTCTGAGCACCTACCACATACTGGGCTTGGTATCCTGGGTGGTCGTGTCTAACAGGAGACCATCCGTGCCATGCCCTTGGGACTCAGCCTCAGTCTAGCTGTTTGAAATCCCAGGTTCCACGCTCCTCACCCTCTAAGCTCTGCCCCACCCCTCTACAGCTCCCCCTAAGCCATGAAGCTCCTCTCTCTCCATCTATCTCCAAAGCCTTTCTCTCTGGGAGCTGTCTCCCTTTCCCTTTATCCTTCAGTCAACACAAGATTTCTAAGTCCCACATCCTCAGTGAAGCCTGGAATAACAGATCCTTTTCTGAAATATTTCATACCATTAAGTCATTTCATAGAGGACTGGCTGCAGGCCTGGCTCCCCCGAGGCCGCTCTCTCTGAGCTCCATCTGGTGAGTTCAGACGAGAACTACCAGCTGAACAGTGGAGGCCTGTTGGCTGCAGGGCCCCCGGGCTCAACTTTCCTGTCCTGAGGAGTGCCGGAGTGGGGCATGTCACACACAAACCAGTTCCCCCAAGGCAGCCTGACACTGAAGCAGGAGAGGAAGCTCTTCCCAGGGAGCTCCCTCAAACACTCTGCCCCACCCAGGGCCCCTGACACTGCCTCTGACAGCCTGGAACTCCACACACTTGTGGCAGGTGGAGGAGGCGGGTCCACCCTTCAAGAATTGCCCACCCTTCAGGTGGGAAGCCTCAATGACAATAATAACAAGCGGTCACATAGCAGCTATTATAAGCAAGGTGCTGTCTCGGGTGTTTTACCCTTTGGGAGGTAGGTGCAACATCATCATTCTGATTTTGCAGATGAAGAAATTGAGGTCATGAGGGTTTTGCTCAAGGTCACACAGTCAATAAATGGAATGGCTTGGACTTGAACCCAGGCAATATGGTTCCAGAGTCTACACTCTTCATCACTGCGCTACGTACTGCCTCTCAAAGCACAAGAAAGAGAACAGAGTCCAGAGTCTTCACGCTTCATGCATTTTCACGCTCCTTTGCTAAGTGAGATGGAGCCACCTTCCTTTTCAAGTCTCTCTCAATTTCTCTCCCAGACAGATCTAACCTGTCTTCATATGGCTATTAGAAGACTTTGAATAGCCCCACACTGTGGGGTTCCTCATGGTGTAGCTGACTGTCCAGAGAACTGCCTCCCTCCGCACCGCAGAATCAGGGTCTGGTCCCTGTCTCCCCTGAGCCCAGGCATGGGACCCAGGGCAGAGCAAGCGCTCTTACAGATGCTGGTGACATGCACGAGATGACAGTGCACATTGCGATACTGGTCTGTGTGTCACAGATCCAAATGTAGCCTCTCAGTCACAGGCCTCACTTGGGAGAGGAATGTCAGCCCTTGTAGCATTGGCCAACATAGTGGCCACCATCCGTCAATCATTTTGTACACTTCAGTTTCTGTCTCCTCACAACACACCTCTTTTCAGATGACACACTGAGGCTTAGTGAGTAAATGCAGCTAAGAGTAGATAAGCTGAAATGTGACCTCAGGGCTCTCTCTGGCCTTTGTCTTAACTTCCAGGGATAGACCAGTCCTTGAAGGAGCTTTCCTCTCTCAGAGCAGTGAATCCTCAGAGATTAGAGAAACTCCGTAGAGAATATGACTAAGGAGAAAAGCATCCTATTGGACTTTGCTAATAGGAACATTTCTCACATTTCAGCCCTCAGTGTATAGGAAAGGGAGAAAGCACAGAGCAAACAGGGATAGACCCATCCCCTGATCCCCACCACATCCATTAGGAAGGAGTGGTTTCCAGAGGGAGACGCTGAATCACACAGGTGTTGAACATGCACCAGTTCCCCAGCTGGTAAGTACAAAGTGACAGTGCAAAGCTCCCTGATCACAAAGCTGGTGCACTTTCTCCCCCACCGGGACCCTCACTGAAGACCAGACCATAAGCCTGGGTGGGCCACCTCTGTGCTGTTTTCTCAGTTGTCCATCCCCCCACCAAACTTGGCAAGTGCCGTGCACCTCAGCAGGCGTTGGGGGGCTAGGTTCTGCTTCTTCTTCTCATCCCTCTTCACCCCATCTCTCCTCCACCTGGATACTTGACCTCTTGGTTTCAGAACAATGGATCACATTGGAAAAATACACCTTCCCTACGTGAATCCTTCCTGAAACCCCTACATATGCAGAGACCCTGCTATTTGCAACATGTCCCTGCTATTTTCTTTCCTGGGCTCTGCTGTAGATTGGCTGTGGGCTACAGGAAAAAGGAAGGCGGGCTTCTCTGGTTACCTTTGTGGTCTGGCAGTGGGAAAGGAATGAGACCCTGGCAAAGGGATCTGAAAGTCCGTTGCTGTCGGCCGCGATGAGGCCCCGGGCTTGGTACATGTGCGCTCTCAGCTGACAGACATGCTGGGCTGCAGGACAAAGAACAGAAAGGGGCAGCTGTTAGCAGGCCCCACCCACAGTGAGTGCAAATGGTGGCAGTGTATGAGCATCTGCGGGCGTGGCCAGAGACAAAGACCATAAGCATCACCCACTTCTGAGATGGAAGATGAAGCAGTGAAGAAAGGGGACGGGGCAGTATTTGGGGGGCACTTTGGAGCCAGGCCTTCTCCTGGGTGCTTTCACCACACTGTGGGTTCTAGTCTCCGTAACAACTCTGAGAAACATAAATAATTGTCTCCATTTTATAGATGAGGGAGTTGGCTCACAAAATGGCTAAGATACTTCTCCAACTTTGAAGAGCTAACAAACACCAGAGCCTGGATTTCATTTCTGCCAGATTCCAAAATCACCTTCCCTTTCTAAAATAACAAATTGCACTTCCTAGCAATTCTCCTGGTTCCATTGTGTGTGTGTATAAGAAAGGGGCCACAGGTGTTTCAATAAACTCAATATACTAAGCCTTGAGCCATCCATTCACCATTCCTCCACTGAGCCAGCCACTGTCATTTTGAGCACCTGCTGTGTACCAGGTACGGTCCCGGTTGCTAAGGATTCTGACGCAGCTATGACAGCCCCTGCCTTGGGAGCTCCAGGCAGGGAGCAGACCACAGTGATGGGAGGCCAGGGTAAGGGTGGTGCAGAAGATACAGGCCAAGGACACTGCAGGGGGTGGGGAGGAGCCATCAAAGGCAGGAGTGAGTGCACCTGTCAGACAGGACCATGGCGGTGCAGACTGGGGTTCAGTGGGGAACCCAGCCTCCCCCAAAGGCGGTATTACACTGTGATCGAGTTTGTGTTGTCATGGGGCCTGGGATACAGGAACTCTTGCATGGCAATTTGAACAGCTCAACTTTGTGAAATAAAGGGTCAAATACCCTGTGCCCCACCCCCGTGCCACTCCTAAGCATATTCCACGTGGGTCTCACACGAAGTTACTAACTTTCTCTTAGTTATTCACATGAGCCTATTAAACCTCTCTTTGACTTTTCTCCCTCACCTGTAAAATGGGGGCAATAATAGTTTTTCATAGGATTAATGCAGGAGATCGAAGGGCTGAGAATGGTGCCTGCCACAGGGGAAAAACTCTAAAAGTGGGGTCGAGATTCTGGTGTGCTGTTACTATGGCTCCTTGTAATATGACCTGGGATGGTGGCCAGCTGGGGGCAACCGGGTCTACCAGGGCTCCAACGGCAGCCGCATGGACTGCACATTGCACAACGCCAGGGGGCGCCGTTTACTTAGTCTAGTTTCTATTTATCTGAAACCTGGAGTCTTCCCAGCTTTGGTGCTTAGACTAGCAAAGTCTGCCTTCTCTTTCCTCGCATTGGCAGCCCGTCTCCTGTGCTGTGACTTACTTTCCACTTGTGGTTACTAGTGACGTGTCTGACTGTCCCCACTGGAGGACCAGTACCACCTCTAATTCATCCCTACCTCCCCCACTAATGTTCCTATTGCAGGTGCAAACTAATTATTGGTTGAATGGATATTTTCTGAAGCACAAGATGACTGAAAAAGCAAACAGTAGGTGTGGAAGGCGACCCAAGCCATCAATGTCAGTCCACAGCAGAGAAAGTTTATTAGGTCAGCCTTTGAAAACAACATGCTGCAAAGAATCAGGAAGCTTTGGAAAAAGTTTCTCCTCTCCCATGAATTGTTAGTAGCTGGGACTGCAAACATATCCATGTGCCTTGGGTCTCTAGAAATAGTGTCAATAGAAATAAGAAGATAAGTTAATGTGGGTGTTTTTTACCCCAAGATGAAAACTCCCTAAAGACAGGATGGAAAACAGTGGAAATAAAACAGGGTTTAGAGATAGTTTGCTCCATTTAGTAACTGTGTGATCCTGGCCAATTTCTAAGCATTTCTGACACATCCTCTATGTACCAGAAGAAATTGCCTTCTATAAAATGAAGAAATTGCCCAGGATTGATGTGTGAAATAAGTTAAATGTGCAAAGTATAGGGCACAATGCCTGACACATGGTAGGAGCCATGCATTTTCCAAAAGAACAGGGCCAAGCTATCCTTGCTCTTATGAGTTTACACTGGACATGGAAAGCACAAAGTGAACCACTGAACCTTGCCTCTAACTTCTGAGCCACTTAAATTCCACTGGCAATCAAAGTCAGCCACTATCAGAGGAGCCTTGTGCAACACAGAAAACCTAGATGTAGAGATAGTTCTCCACTGTTTCAACACTGGCCCAATTCAAAACTCAACTTCAGTTCACATGAAGGTAAAACGGCAGCCGACTCCCCAAATGCAGCAGCAGGGATCCTGCAGACTGAAGCAATTTGGAAGCAGAAAGCAAAATGCAACTGTAAGGCATTCGTACTTAGAATAAAAAGCAAAATTATACAAAGGTGGAAATATGATGGCACTCTGTGATATAATGAGTTATAAGAAATACATGTTTGGTCATATAAATGACCAAACATGTATTTCCCAGGTATTTTTGGCCTTCATCCACAGTTCCTGAAAAGACGACAGACAGTCTTAGAGATGAAAGGGGTGTTTCGTCATATTAAGGAGAGACTTTTGGGCTCCCACCCAAGGGCAGGGGCTAGAGGTCAGATCAGCCAATGGCCAGTGATTCAGTCAGTCATGACTGCGGAGTGAAGCCCTGCAAAAACCCCTGAGAAGAGCTCCGCTCTCTCCGCTCCGCTTTGCGTGCTCTGCCCTGCTTTTCAGTGGGACAGAGCTCCTATGCCTGGGGAGCCAGAACACCCCACGTGCCACCAAGCCAGGCCCCAAGGTCCACGAGGACAGAAGCTCCTTTATTTGGGACCTTGCCCCATGTCTCTCTAAATCTGGCTGTTAACTTGTTTCCTTTGTTAAACTGACAAATGGTAGTGGTTTCCTGAGTTCCATGAGCCACTGTAGCAAACTAATTGAACCTAAGGGGGAGGTCGTGGGAACCTCCAATCTGTAGCCGGTTGGTCAGAAGCACAGGTACTGCCTGGGGCTTGCGAACAGCATCTGGAGTTGGGGTGGACCCCTTAACCTCGGAATCTGGTGCTATCTCCGGGCAGATAGCACCAGAACCGAGTTGAGTTCTCGGACACCCTGCTGGTATTCGAGAATTGCTTGGTGTAAGTAGATGTGGGAAGACCCCCTCCCACATTGGAATCAGGTCCAGGTACCCGAATAGAGTTATACTACTATTACTGATGTGTATAATATTGTTAACTGTTATATACATACGTAGGGAAGAAATGTATCATTGCATTTGGTGTTAGAGATCTTGCACACTTATAGAAAATATCTGCATAAAAGAAAGGATTATATAAAGCATGTTCAACTTCTAAAAACAGCCAATTCAAGAATGCAGCTAGAGAAGCATAAGTGACCCTAAGGATAGCAGCTTCCAGTGGGACATTACTGGGACATGTATATACCTGCTGTTAGGTCAAAACCCTAAAGCCGTGTAAAAGGGAAATATGCCTTAATTCCACAGGCCATAATCAGCACAAGAACTTATTGATGCGTCTTTAAGAGACACCTTTGCGTAAAATACAAACTCAGTCTCACAGTGTGCTTACAGAGAAACTCAATTGTATTCTCTCCATTAATGGGAAAATATAAATTTTTATTCCAGATGTGTTTATTGACTTCACTTTATTCTTTTCAGGTGGGACATTGGAAGGTAAGAAAGAAAATTTAGAAACTTTATAAAAAGGAGGAAATCAACTGATCCTAAAATAATGTTCAAACAACTAACACACGTCACCCTCTTCATTTTCCCAGAGGCCCGCCAGAGATACCTAATGACCCTCACTGCCCATACCTTGGTAGAGCAGGTTGTCTGGGGGTTGACTGGCATCAACTACTTTGGAGGACATTTGTGCTTCATAGCCTGCTGGCAAGTTGTCCAAAATGGCACTAGAGTGCCTGATGGAACCCAGCCACAGGTACACGTCGACTTTTGCTTGTACCGACCAACCAGCCGGCCGTTTTCCAGGAAGCTAGAGAAAGGTTACAAGGAAGACCACCTTGTTAGTAGGAGCCAGTTAGGGACATCACTCGTCGAGAAAAGAGGTCCTGGACCTGGTGGGGATCAGGGGTCCAGAGAGCAGTTCTCAGGGGGATCACCATACCCCATAATGAGAATAATGACCCCCATTGCCACGATGCACAATTCCGGGATAAGACCCAGGTCTAGTGGGGCCTGAAGCTTAAGGAGGCACTAGAGTAAGCACGTCCAAGCCCTGGAGCATTTCAGTCTAACAGGAAGGTATGGTTAGTGCCCCTATTTTATAGATGAAGAAACTCAGGCTCAGAGAGGTTAAATAAGTTTCCTAAGATCCCTCAGCTTTTTAGGTAACAGAGCCAGAACTCAAACCCAGGAGAGATGATTCCAGGTCTAGACTCCAGACTCTGCATGCCCACTGCCTGCCTCTTCCTGAGCTGAAATCTCCCTTCCCAGAATTTCTGAGGGCCTGGAGTTCAACCGGAGCCCCTGCCTCTGCCTCGCTCAGAAGTACGCACATGCTGTTTCCGTAGACCAGGCCTCCGTGTGCTGAAGGAACCACCTGCCCCCCAGGCCCTTTCTTACCAGCTGAACATCTCTGGTTCCTTCTTCATCCCTTCCTCATGCAGCATGGTCTCAAATCCCTGTACCAGCCTGCGTGCTTTCTTTTGAACATACTTAGGTTTGTATTTATATTGATGTTTGTGTGAATTTGGTATTCATGTGTGCATTAGTGTGTGCAGCGTATATGCATGCACATATGTACACGTGGAGGGGGGGGGTTGCACACATTCTCAAGGTGCAAAGGATACACCTCAGTGCCACGTGGCTCCTTTTGTTCTCAGACACCATGATTCAAGGACTCCCGGACCCCATCTGAGGAGTCCCAGGCCCAGACTTGGCTGCGCTCAGGATTGTTGGCAAGGTCTTCATTCTACAAACAGCAGCCTCTCCAGATTTTCTTGTGACTCTTCTAAGTGCCTCTCCTTAGTGTTCCTTAGGCTCTCCGGTCAGTATTTTCCCCTTTCTTCTGTACCACTTCTTTCCCAGAGAGAATCACAAAATTCTATGAGGGCCTACAATGTGGCCTGATAATTTCCAAGGCAGCCATGGAGAGTCCCTGAATCCAAAATTGAGTAGTTTGCCTTTCTGTCTTGCTCAGTGGGTTCTCTACATGCATTTTGCACAACTCAGTTCAGCAACTACCTGAAGTGCCGCCAGGCCTTGCTGAGGGAGCAGGGTCAGAAGGGCATCACAGTGACCAAGACACAGTCCCACCCCCACCCTTGTCCCCCTTAACAACTGACATCTCGACAAGGAGCCAACTTGCAGTCACTTAAATCAAATGAGAAGTGTAAGGGAGAAAATGCTGAGGGAGCAGAGAAGTAGCAGCTGGTATTGCCATTATTTCCCTAAGACTCAAACATTTCGCTGGGCCTTAGTCAGTGCTTTGGGGTTGGACGGGCAGGAAGGCATCCCAGGAAGAGGGACGCGCACGCACAGAGCTACTGGGCAGGAACCAGCAGTGGTAAATCTGCACTAGCATTTAGTGAGCACTCACCCCCTGCAGGAATGGATGTGCTAAGAGCTTTGAGAAAAGAAGGAGCTGGGGCAGAGAACGACATGGACAGAGGAGGCCGAAGAATCCTGCCGTTCTGTGGAGGAGGTTCGATTTTATTCTTTAGGAAGTGGGTGTCTGCCATTATTTACTCAGCTTGGAAAAAAAACAAATAACGTCATCGTTGATGGTAACAACAACCACTCAGCAGCTCATAATTTTTAAAATTACAGTAAGGAATTCTCCTCGATTCATCACTTCTTTAATAACGATGATAGCTGCAATGCATTGAGCACTTGTTCAATACAACACACTTTACTGAAAGTCTAAGGCTATTTTGTTGTAGTAAAAGCAACCCCCCTGCCATTTGTGGATGCACTGAACCATCAATTCACAAAGGCAGGGATGTTTTCTATGAGGAGTGCTTGGTGCCCAGGAAGCACTCGGTAAAGATTTGCTGATTACTTTTCTAATAATAATAATATTTTACATTTGTTGAGCATTTATTTGGTCTCAGGCCCTGGTCTAACATTCCTCCCTACTCACAGAATGTCCTATTACTTGTATACTATTAATAAGCCATAGGTTATCACTCAGTTTCATGATGACTATAAAGTGAATACTTGCATTACATGTATTTTTAAAATGAGGAAATGGAGGTTCAGAGATGTTAAGGCAATTGCCCAACATCAACACAGAGCAAGGCTGGGAGAGAGCCAAGATTCAATCCTGCTCTACCCAGCTCAGCGTATCCTCTTAGCCAGGGCCCCTCACACACTGATAGGAGTGTCAGAGCACAAGCACTGCCCACGCAACTGACTAAAATGTAAATTCTGGTTCACCTGGTCTTGGGTAAGGTTGGAGATTCTGCCTTTCTCCCTCTTGGTGCTGATCCTGCTGGTCTACAGTTAACTGTTTTAAGTATTTGAATAGCAAAACTTAACTTGTTATGCTGGATTGCCCTGAGGAGTTCTGATATCCTTTGCTTTCTTAAAGTAAAACAAAACAAAACAACAACAAAAAACATCATTCATTTCTACTGCTATGAAAATATGTGTGTGTGTGAATTCATGGTCAGAACCAAAATTTCAGCTAACATCTTGTAAAAACCACCATTGCATTCCTAAAGTTTGCTGTTTATACATCTTAGTAAAAATATACAAATTGAAATGCTTGCAAGACAGTGCAGAGTCTCTAGGGACCCAAGCTGGAATTCATGCAACGTTACAGAGCTCCTTCCTAGGCACTCTCAGAAACAGCATCCCTTCTTTAACTTCACAGCACCCCCAGCCTGGGGTGAGACTTCCCCCCTCCCTACTTCCCCACTCTCTTTTCTCTCTCAGTTGCTCCTAAGGCCTGACCAACCCCAGCAACTTCTTTCTTTTTGAGAACAGCATGGTAGGTCATGGGGGAAAAAAAAAAAAGAAAAACAGTTAAAGAATGCAGAAGTTCATCTAAAAACTATGGTCTCCAATGTATAAAAATTGCATGAGACAGAATGCTGAAGTCTTAGCCTCTCCCAGGCCCCACTCTCTTCCCTCCAGTGTGCTGGTGAATGCTAGCTTAAAGGAATAGAAATCTTGGCACAACAGAAAATGGAGAGAAAGATGGTAATTCGCACAAACTGTGTTGAAGTTCATCGAGCCTTAGAAAGAGGAGGTTTATCTCACAGAGGTCTAACTTTGTGGCAGGACCAGAAGCTTATCATTTAGCCACCACTTTCTCCCACATAGAATTTTGGGCCTCCTAGAGGAAGCTGGAGGCCCAAGAAGAAGAGGTGAGATTCAGGGGTGTGGAGCAGAAGATAGTACAGAGATGGAGAATAGACTGAGAAGGGGCTCTCAAGGCCACCCAGTGTGGTCTTGGCACAGACGTGACTCAACGAGAAAGGAACAGAAAGGTTGAATGACACCCTGGGCTCTGAGTGCATCCACTCCACCAGCAGAGGAGTTCCCTTCGGGTGACAAATGTCCTTGTCCACTCTTGGGCCACTGGGGGTCCAGTGGGGAAGAGCCTGAACCGGGAGAACTCTGCTGCTTGGGATAGTGGACTGGACTGAGCTCAGCAAATTCTGTTCCAGCATTTTTAGCAATATTATGAATGTAACTAGAGAAAAAGAAAGACCATGGAGCCAGGGACCATGGAACCTGGGCTGAAGTTACAGATGTACTATTACTTAGCCATGTGATTTCAGATGCAATACCTTTGTTTCCCCTAGATTAACATTTCCCAAGGTAGGCCCCTTGGAAGAGTAGTTTCCTAAAATTTAGAAATAGCTGTCCTAGATGAATAAGGTTGACAAACATGGGCTGTAAAAGTTAAACCTTTTCCCCTAACTGCAGGACCTCCCTGAGCCTTCTACTGGGCTCTGTGACACTCCAAGACAGGGACCCACATGCAGCCACCCGAGTGTGTGGAACCTGGAATGCTTGTGGGGCCACGCAGAAGGCAGCTGTTGCACAGAATCAACTTTGAGGAAACTCCGGCCTAGAGATTTTAGTGATTTACATTCTATGCTTTGTCTTACTGCACTTCCTAATCCCCAGCTGAGAACTGGATTGAGTGGCAGGTATGTGAATACTTGGGCTTCCTGGTGCAGCTCCTGCTCTTGGTAGATTTACCAATTCAGTGAAGAGACAGGAGCATAAAGGGGTGGAAGGAGGGAGTTAGAAGCAGCGAAAATACTCAAAGCAGGAATTAAAATAGTTTCCCTGAGTCATCAAGATGTTTCTTCACAGTCAGTACAACTGAATTCAACAAAATTTACAAATCTATCACCCAAGCCATCCAATACGAAAAAGAAAATACAGGTAAGCCAACTCCAGAGGGCAAAGGTTCAGAGGTCTCAGTTATGTCTGTCCTCTGGCTTTAGTTAACAGTTGCTCTTTGTTCTGATTTTAAATAATGCCAGGATACATCGAAATATTTAGGAGGGAGTAACTTTACACCGATTTTCTAGTATTTTTAGCACTGGGCCTTCTGAAATGATTTGCTATTTTAAAGACAAATGTTTCTTGTGACCCTACAAGCCCTTCAGTGGAGAAAGTTGAAGAAAATCCTGATATTGATGGTAAATAACTAGAGTTAAGAAATAAAATTCAACCAAATAGATTTGAAGATCTAAGTGGCTTTATTAAGTGGTTTATGAGTTGGACAGCATCCCATTTAGCAAGCAGTCAGTGCTCCAAAGGGCAACAGAAAGGGAGAGATTTTTAAAGATAGACAAAGCATTAACAAAAAAAAAAGAAAGAAAGAAAAAGAAAAGAATCCATTAGCAAGGAATGCATTATTTAAACAAGATTGCCCACCCAAGAAGGAAGGGTTTCCCAGGGGATCAGCTCCAGGAAATTCTAGCTGGGCTGACTAAAGGTTATATTCCTATGGGGGTTGAAACTGCAATTAAGTTAGGTATTAAATCTTAGTTTGGGGGACCCTAACCTTTAAGTTACCCCATTATGGTCCCACAATTTTTCTTTTTAGCAGTGGGGTGATTATTTCTCTTTTCAGTTAGAGTTTTACCAGGGTGGGTTTAAAAATCATTTTACATACATGACAGAAAATAACATACAGAACCACCACCACCTCACTGGACATGATGGCGGTACACAATTCCAGAAAGTTCCTGTAGATGTTGGATGCCCATTTGTTTGAATGCCAACATTTACTGAGTGACTACTCTGGGTGATGTATGCACTGTGCTCTTTACGTGCAGCCATTCACTTAATCCTCAGCCCCATCTCCATTTGATGAAGAATAGGAGATACAGATGCTAAGAAACTTGCCTAAGGTCACACAGCTCATCAATAGTGGCTCTGGAATTCTGTAATACATAAAATTATATTCCTCTAAAATTCATATGTGGAAGTTCTAACTCTCAGTACCTTAGAATATGACCTTATTTGGAAATAAGGTCATTGCAGATAGAGCTAACATGATGTGAAACTGGAATGGAGTTCTTATAAAAGGACATCATGTGAAGAGAGATGCCCAGACACACAGGAACTTGAGGTAAAGACTGGAGTTATGCTCCCACAAGTCAGAACTACCAGAAGCTAGAAGAGGTGCTTCCCTAGCACCTTCAGAGAAAACATGGCCCTGCTGATGTTAATCTCAGATTTCCAGCCTTGAAATTGTGAGATAACTTTCTGCTGGTTAAGCCACTCAGAGGTACTTTGCTTAAGCAGCCCTATTAAACTAATACAAATTTCAACTCAGATTTACCTTATTTCAAAGCCCAAGCAGTAAACCGTTAGCCCACCCTGCCGCGACATTAAACAGGCACACCTACAGTAGACTCTCGCAACTGCATGGCACTTAGCCAGTCTAGCTGCCCATTGCCATGGTTATATCAAGGGGGAAAAGACCCACTATGGACCTTCATTTAAGGAAGCATTTTCCTGTAATGGCTATCATGGGGATTGATTCTATTCTCTGGAAACACACACACACACCATTCAGGTGGCAGCCCTACAAACACTAAAAATCTCTACCATCCCATCAAATGTCTTCTCAGTTAAACATTGTTACCTCTTCACCCATTTTTTGTATGGCACCACTTCTAGAAGGTTTTGAGCCTTCTCACCTTCCAGAGGCAGTAGAAGAATAGTTATGTTATAGCAAGAAAACAGACCTACAATTGGCAGGACAGTTTAGTATGAACTGGCAAAAGTTAATCAGTCAAATCATACAATCTTGTTATCAGTCATTGGTGAGTACTAATCCTTTGGGCCAATCTTTCTCACCTGTTTGCTCAAGTCTACTTCTGGGACAGAAAATTATAGTAGGGTCAAAATACCCAGGGTCTCCAAAAAAGGCTCAACTCTTGATTCAGAGACAGTAGAATCCATCCAAAGATAGTGACTATGATTGTTCACTCCTGGGGCACCAGGGGACCCCATCTTCATGAAAAGACCATCAGATTTTTACAGTTTAAAGCCACCAGGAATCCTGAACTAGAAGGTCTGTGGAATATAAAACTCCTCTCTTGTAATTTTCTTTGAAATCTATTCTTAAAATGCAGATGAACCCATGTAGAAAAGATGCCATGGACAAATTATACATGAGAGAAGGCAGTGAGAAAACTAGTAGAAAAATGTTCATTCTTCCTAATAATCAAAGAAGAAAAGAAAAAGTAACCTTGAGATACATCGCCTAAATTAAAAAACAAAATAAAAAAACACCTTGTTTGTGTCTGGTGACATAGTAATTGGAAAACTGGAGAATATTCAGCCTTGAGACAGTCCACTAAGACAAAATTAGAATCAAGAGGGGGCAAGGGGCTCCAGTTGTCCTCAGAGCTTTGAGAGTCTTGGAGAAGAGTCAGAGATATGGACACACACGAGGAGTGCTGAGTGACCCAAGGGGAATAGAGATTTGCCACCTTTGAGTCAAAAACAGTGCAGACTTACTTTGAGGAAAAGAGTTTTGATCTTCCCACAGTGTTTACCCATCTTCTCCCTAACGGGGGAGTAGAACAGGTCTTTGGAGGCGATGCGGGCATATGCCACTCTCTTGTTGTTGCTGAGCATCCAGATGAAGACATCGGGGATGGTGTGCTGTGGCTATGGGAACAGAGGAGAATGGATTTGATACATTGGTGTTTTAAAAAAGCACTTCCAGAGTTCTCCTATCCTGAAACAGTCCCCTTATGCAAAAGACATCCCGTGACTTAAACCACCTAGGTACTTAAACATCTAAGCAATCAAACAAGTTAAGCGGAACTCCTTTGAGAAAGCCTTAAATCATGAATTACAAATACATGTGAACCCCATCTGCCCTGCTGCTCATTGTGCTCTGAGAACATGCAAGTTGGACGGTGATTTGTTATGTTAGTGGCCTACTTTTCTCTGTCTGTAGAACAAACATTTTCTATGCCTCTTATGGACTTTTTTTTTTCAATCTTATTATGATTTAGCTTCATGCATTGCACCCCCTAAGAACCAGGTAACATTTCCAGAATATTCAAATGAAAAAACAAAAACAATAAATCCATGAATGTCTTTGGATGTCTTTCCACTTACTCTTAAGGAAGGAAAAACAATTCTACAAGTGACTTTATCCTGAAAATATGATTGCCAACTACTTTAGCTCCATTTTAGGTGTTTATTCAGGAGGACCTCGACTAAATTGCACAGAAATTTAGACTTTAAAGTAGAGCTAATCAAGATAGGAAGGGCAGAATTCCCTGCCAAGAGGCCCATTATGTTGTGAGTGTTTGAAATGCTCATCTCTGAGCCAACAGAGCTACAGAAACAAAAAGGAGGGATATTGTCGCACATGAGGCTTTGACATTCTTGAGCTGGACGCAGATGCTCGGCCCATAACCCTCTGGTGTAGTTTGAGTCACAGACCTGATGCCTGTTTTGAACCTTGGTGCTTACTAAAATTCTTGCATCTACTAAAATGACTTCTCACTGCTTCTTATGCCTCCAGGGAATGATGCTCAAGAAATACAGCTGTTGAAAACAACAGAAGCAGTGAATCTGTACCTCTCCCTGAAACCTTCCCACATAAAACTCGGTAACTGACAGAAGCAAACACGAGGAACTTTTTAGATCATTCTAGAAGTCACTGGAGATACTGTTTACAGACGACTTTAAAATGAGAAGCTATTTTGACTTTTACTGGGCATGAATTTAAATTCTCTTATAGTTGAAAACTTACCAAAGGTTCTATGCTTACTGTGAGTTTTCCTGAGTTCACTAAGGAATATGCTTTTTATTTCAGCTGAATATTCAGTTTTCATAAAAATAAAATCAACAAGGCTGTACATGTTTGGCTTAATTTTAAAATCTCCCATTTCACCCCTAAACTAACTCAGCAGGGCTTAGGAAAAGACAAAGTTCCATCTTTCATTCTTATCAAACATTCAAATCTTACTAGGAAGAGATTTGGCTTCATCTTCCAAAAGAGGTTTGCCTTTAGAGTTGATTACCTCATCAACAAGAAAGCGGATTTTTTCCACAAAGGTTTGGGCTTCATGGATTGTTTCATCAAGAGATAACTTTTTCTTCTGCTGCTGAATTATCCCCTTGGCCTCCTTGGCCATTGCCTCCTAAAAGAAGACAAGAGTCAGTGTAGATCTTCCTAGAGAAGGGGACAAGAAGTGCTGTCATGTTGCTGGAGGAAACTAAAGGGGCTTTGAGTTCCACACTGAGCCATTCACAAGAAGGCTGTTTCAGAGTTTGCCGCAGTGAATGCTGCCTATTTAATAAAAATTTCATAGGTATATGGAGGCAGTGAATATCATCTCACCTTTAACAGATGAGACACTGAGGCACAGAAAGCTCAGAGGTTTGTCAAGGTCCCATAGCTCGTTAGCCAGGACCAAATCCAGGCTTTCCGATGCCTAATCATAACAGTAACAAGAGCAACTAAAATATATTGAGCTCTTCCTCCGTGCGAGGCAATGTTCTCATGGCTGTATTAACCCTTATGACTCCTCACAGCAACCTTACAGGGTAGGTACTGCTCTTCCCACTTGGCGGCTGAGGAAGAGAGTGATGCTCTGTTCCACTAACAGGCAGTGCCGGAGTTGACCACCACTGAGTCCAGAGTCCTCGTCCTCATCACCGCTCTCGCCACCTCTTCCTAGAGGCACGGTGGATGCTTCCAGACCAAGTTGGCATCTTGTGAGAAACACCGCCAAGAAGCTCAGGGTGAGTGTTTGGAACATCCAAAATATTTATTTCGATTCATTCATTCAGCCCACATTTATGTGCTTCAGAAAAACCCCAAACACTTTACAGTGCTTTCTAAGGCCCTGTGTGAGTCTGCCCTGCCTGCCCTCGGTTCCATCTCTTGTCCTTCCCTCCCTGAGTTGCAGGCCCCCTGGTCCTCAGGAGGTCCTCAAACATGCCAAGCTCGGTCCACCCTCAAGGCTGGTGTGCGTGGGGCTCCTCTGGCTCTGATGTTCTTCCTAGATTCTGCATGGCTGATTTCTTCTCAGGCCTCAATTTGAATGTCACTGCTGCATTACACCCACATTTTCCTGATTATCCTGGCCTTGTAAAATTGCCTTCATAATCATAACCTGTGACCATTTTTATTTTTTTGTTGTTTACATGTCTGTCTTCTGTCTTCTCTACTGAAATGTAAACTTCACTAGAACAAGGGCCTCTCCTGTCTTGTTCTTACCTGGTATTCTCAGTGTCTGGTAGCATTCCTGGCACATAGCAGGTACTAAATAAATGTTTGTGGAATGAATAAACCAGTCGATTAATAAATTCCTTTAAGACAAGCACAAGTACTTACAGTGTTGTGTTCCTAGCACCTGGCATAGGGCCTGACATACAGAAAGCCTTCTGCACATGTCAACTGGAAGAACGGAATACCAGCTATGCACTGGGCACTATCCTAGGTGCCAAGGTCAAAGATGAGGGAGGACACCCTGAAACTTGGACAGTTTGATGAGTTAAAAGCAAAAATATGCAAAATATCACAGGACCAGAGACATCCAAATGTCATGGATAATATGACATTTGAGCTGAGTCTTAAAAAGTGGGTAGAATTCCACATTATTTACACTAGCCAGTATGTGGAAGGAACCTAAGTGTTGATCAGTAGATGAGGTACATATACACATGGAATATTATTCAGCCATAAAAATTCCTGCTATTTATAACACTATGAATGGATCTAGAGGGTATTGTGCTCAGTGAAATAAGCCAGGCAGAGAAAGACAAATACTGTATGATTTCACTTATTTGTAGAGTATAAAAACAAAACAAAACAGAATGAACAAGACAGCAGTAGACTCACAGCCAGAGAAGTGACTAGAGGTTACCATGGGGGAGGGGCTGGGATGGGTGAAGAGGGTGAGGGGGATAAAGAGGCACAAAAATCCTCAGTCATAATGTAAGTTGGGATGGTAGTACATCATAGAGAGTACAGCCAGTGATTCTGTAACATCTTCCCATGTTAACTGTAACTGCACTAGTGCAGGTGAGGATTTAATAATGTGGGTAACTGTTGAACCACTGTGTTGTATATCTGAAACCAATATAAGACTGTGTATCAATGATACTTCAATTTTTTTAAAAGTGGGCAGAATTCATCAAGTAATAAGAAGGACAGTCCAGACAAAGGGAACAATTACAAATGAAGACACATAATCAGTGAGGATTCAAAATTGTTAGAGTATAAATACATGGGGAGGGAGTAATGGGAGATAAGGCTGGGGTGCTAGGTTGGAGCCAGGTGGTGAAGAGCCTTGTGTATCATGCAAAAAGAATTTGGACTTCATCCTGTGAATGACTGAGAGACTCCAGCAATATTTGAAGCAACAGCGATCTAATCAGGTTTGTGTGTTAGAAAGACCTTTCCGGTTGTGGTGTGAAAGATGGATCGGGGGGATACTGCAATGGTCTAGACCAAAAAGGCTACGAAACTCAGTTTAGGTAGTGAGTCTGGGGAGGAAGAAGTGGAGTAAGGGTCCAGAGTCTCTCAGGGGGCAAAATCAACAAGGTGTGAGGTCAAATTGACACTTAGGGTGAGGGATAAGGACTCAAAGTTAACTCTAGGCTTCTGGTTGGAGTAGTAAGTGTAGCTGGTGATGCTAGCCCAGGATGGGGAACAGGTTTACATGGGAGATGATGGCTGATTAGGATATATGGAGTTGGGGGTGCTGTGAGACAAGCAGGGAACATGTCCACTAAGTGGTTCAAATTACAGGTCTGGAGGTGAGGAGGGAGATCTTGAAATCATGCACTTGCTGGACCCTGAAAAAACCATTGAGCTCTGTGGGCAATATGCAGTGGGTGGACATTGCAGAGGTGGAGAAGGGCAGTCAGAAGTGCTAACAAAGAAATGGGGCAGGAAAAAGATCTTGCCTATGATGGGAATCTGACCTCCCCCGGGGTAAAAAAGAGGAGTACACAAACCTGCATGTATTGTTCTAGAAAGGGTGAACCAGTTTAGAGATGTGGGTTTTGGTCTCCAGACTATGATCAACTAGATCTGACCTTTAAAAGAATCGTTAACTCTCTCTGGGCCCCACTCACATCTTTAGAATGTCCCTGGCCAGTCAAACACTGAGTGATTTCAAATTACTGAATGAGCTTTCTTTGCAGTATTTCACAGCGTCATACAAAATGCCTGTTGGTGCCACACTGGAACTGGTTTCAAGGAAAGCAGTCCAGGACCTGAGCTGGTCTGGCATTTCTGTCATCACTCACTCAACAGGCACTGAGCACCTAGGAGACACCCAGCACTATGCAGGGGCTCCAGGGCACAGACGTTATCAGCTACGGCCCACAATTTTTAATGGGAGAAAACCAAGCAGGGGAAGAATGTTTATTTTTTATCTCTCAGTTTGTGAGGCAGAGTGAAACAGTCTATAGCCTTTGACGAATACAAAGTTCACAGAAATGAGCAAGGGGGAAATCCATCAGAATAGGATATAGGACTGGTGGGCTTCTAGTTAATTGTAAACACTCAATAAATGCTATTTCTTTCCAAATCACCCACACATTCCCCTCTCACTCATGCCTCTATATCATGCAAATGTATAACCTTTAGAAACTTATCCTCGTCTGGTCTATGACCTATGCATCACCCATGAGGTTTATTTTTAAAGCACATGTTTAAATCTGTGCAAAGCATAAATAGATTTTCACATACCAGTTCCTCCCAACAGAGCGTAAGCCGTTTCTTATCTAAAGTGGTTTGGTTCAGCATCTTGGGTTTTCTTTCTGCTTCAGAGATAAAGGCACTATAAGAGAAGAATAACAATTTGGGAACCAACTTAATGAAAATATGTTTATATAATTCCAGAATTTGAAATATACTTTCTGCCATACAATGGGAAAGCTGATGAAGCCACAGAACCAAGACCTTTCACTTAGAATAAGCAATGATGCACTAACTTTACTGAGAGACGAACTGAGAGTTGGAAATGATGATGCCAGACTCCACATTAGTTTTGGGAAATAGATTTGTATTTTCCCATTTCATTTTTCAGTATATCCTTACTAGGCTTGCTGTTCAATTTCATAACAACAAATACAAATTAATGCAGTTTTCTCTCATCTTACAAAGTTAACAAGCACCCAAAGTTTCCTGAAAAGTTATATGTAAGGCAAATATTTTAGACTCAACATTGGCATAAGTCCTCGCATTTTTAAAACCATACAAAGGAATGAGCTGTAACATTTTGATGGATGATGTTAAAAATGTGCTCAGTAGGAAAATGGTAAAGGTCATGAATGCAATTGAAGAAGAAAGATAAATGACTTTAAAAATTGGAAAATAAGATATTGCACTGAGGAAGTTGTTTCCTTATGTGGTAGGCAGCCTCTATGATGCCTCCCAATGATCCCCACCTCCAGCTATTCTTGCCACTAATTTCCTCCCTTTGAACGTGCAATGGACCTTGTGACTTGCTTGTAATAGAATACATTAAGAGTGATAGCATGTCACTTCCAAGATCAGGTTATAAAAGACTGTGACTTCCATCTTGCTGTTATTTCCTTCTGACTCATGTCGCTTGCTCACACTGATAAAGTCAGCTGGCACACTGTGAGAGTTAGCTAGGAGAGGCCACATGGTGAGGAATTGAGGCTGACTTCCAACCTATAGCTAGCAGGGAACTGAAGTCCTCAATCTAACAGTCTGTGAAGAACCGAATTCTGAAAATAACCTTGAGAGTAGTCTTGGCAGTGAATCCTTTCCCGTAGAGCCTTGAGATAACTGCCTCCTCAGTCAATGCCTTGATTGAAGCCTGTGAGGGGTTCTGTGCAAACCACCCAGCTAAGTAAGTCACCCCTGGACTCCAGAGGTGTCCAGACCCACAGAAACCCTGAGATAATAAAAAGTGCCACTACATTTGGGAGTTATTTGTCACTCAGTAATAGGTACTAGTTATAGGGAGTTATTTGTCACTCACCCTCTTTTTAAATATTTTATTATATTGTCTTCCACTGGAAATCAGAGTCCTTAATCAGTGCTTACTAATGTGTTACATGAAAAAATCCATTAAATAGCATTTGATATAACTTATCCATCTAATTGCCAAATGGTCGTTGGGCATCACCCAAATGCAAGAAGCATGCTGGACACTAACATCGCTGGCATTTTCCTTTTTTCAGAAAGAGTTTCTGCATAGGTCTTTTCTTTCTTTTTCCTTTGCTTTGTGTTTTAGTTGTTCAGGTGGAAGGAAGTGGTAGTGAGCCCACAAATACCAGCTCAACTACTGAACAAAATGAAGATGGAGATCACACTACAAATGCCCATCTGCATGCATGTTAAACCGACTGTCTTCTAAGGTAAGTAACAGCTGATTTCACATGAGCTCAGCTCCCAGAGGCCAGCTGCCTCTCCCAGTACCTGCATTGACTGATGAAGTCTTTAAGAACTGTCTTCATTTTTTCTTCCGGGGCTTCTTCTGACACCTTGATCAATTCTGTCACTTCTTCTATACTTTCCTCCTGAAACAAACCACAGAGGTGGAGGAAAGAGGGCAGGGAATGAGACATTGTAGTAGAGATCCTGATTCTAACACTCCCGAGATTATATTTAGCTAATTTTTTGTTTGGGAAATGAAGGAAGATTTCCCTCATTTTCTTGTGCCTGGACTGGAAACGCTACTGTGTTCTGGGTATGCATCTGCCTTTTCTTAACTAGAATTGGCCCAGATACAAGTCTTCTCCTGCATTGCTCCAACTCATTGTCTCTGTCCCAGATTAATTCCCTAACTTGGTACCATTTAGAGTCTATACTGCAGGGGAAAACTAATGTCTGGGGAAACACCTGATGAAGTAGAAAAAATTAGATATAATTACTGAAAACTTCACAAGCAATGTTCAAGTCAATTTGTTAGATGGGGATATAATAACAGTGAACAATCCCTGAATTTAAAAGGCTATCAGTTCTTCTGATTATATCAGAAGAAGCTCAGGCAGATGGGAGGGCATGGAGGTGGCTATGAGGCATAAAGGTATTTGGTTTCCTCAGGAAATGAAAAGTCTAATGTCCTTGGAAAAAAGGAGTAAGAGCATGTGAGAGATAGGACTGGTGAGGTGGCAGGGCCTGATCTTGTAGGCAATTATCCACCATGTTAAGGACTTAGTATTTTATATTAGCTGAAGTCAGGATCTATCAATTTTGTGAGAAAGGTATCAGCCTCCTGCCCTTTGGAGATTAGGAAAATAACCTTTCTCTCACTAGGTCCTATGATGGTAAGAGCAGGGATTCAAATTAAGATAGTTTGATTTAAAGTCCAGGGATTTTGCAAATATATTCTCATTACCCTGGATCCATGGAGTAGGAGCCATGGGTCCTCCAAGTGCAGCAGCTGCAATTCATTTGTATTTAAATTGAGGTCAAGACCCTCTACTGGGTGGATTTTTTAAAAATCCCTTTTGCCGCCAGCTTCCCTATATTCAAACCCATCGCCTGTCAGTCACCTACCAGCAGGTCTGCCATTTTCTCCAGCATGTTGGACCAGTGCAGCCTGAATGTCTGGTCACCCCAAGAGCTGATGAAGTAGACACAGGGCTTCTTGGCCTCAAATGGCAAATAGTTGTAATTCCTGTGAAACATGTCAGGCCTGGAAGTTAGTTGGCAATTGGTGCTTTTCGGGCAATTCCAACCACATGCTCATGTTTTGCATGTTCTGGGTGGGGTGGGGGACAAAACACTCGAACTGTCACCTGTACACTAACTGGGGACCCATGAACAGCACACAACCAACAGAACAGGTATGTGGCTCCAACGGGGAAGTCCCAACAGCCGCCCTCAGCGGACTAGGCCAGAGCTTAGACATGATCCCCAGAGGGCAGGACTCATCAGGCAAGCCTTCTTCAATGAGTTCTCTTTTCAGTTGAGAGACAAGAGAAGGGAGCAAAAAGAACATTTTTCCTTTAACATCTCTGTGCTAGACCCTGGGTAAGGACTGAATGAGACAACAGGTGTCAATGCACTTTGTCAGCCGAAACTGCCAGAGAAATGTAAGAGGCTAAAACATTTTTAATGAGGAAGAAAACATGTGCATCAAACTAAACTTCAGCATTCCATGGCTTGCCATCCATCCATCCCTCCATCCATCCCTCCATCCATCCAGTGCCTGTTGCCAGGCACTGGTACTAATAATGTCAGTGACTTGCTTGGCTAGGAATGGACAAGAAGGATGGTGAAGTAGCTGGAAGGGGAAATGTGGAGCCCAAGGGGGTGTCTGAGGTTGACAGTTGGATGTGTGAAAATGCTGATGAGAAAAAGACCATTAGCAGACTGAGATTGAAGACAAAGAAGAAACTTACTTGTAAATCTTGGTTCCCAAGGTGGAAAGAGATGGTGTGAAGGTACAGAAGGTGGGAGAGGTGTGGCAAAAAGTTGAAGTTGCCCGCCTAAGGGCAGCTATATTCTTAACTAGGTGTTCCCCAAACACCTGTGATTGTCCCACAAACAGCCGGGACTGTGTGAAGAGAAATGTGGAAGGAGGCTAAACCATAGTTCCTGGGATGAGCACGGTGAGACCCGTGGCCATGATAAATGGGGACAGTGTCTGGAGTCACACGCCTATAGAGATTGGGAAGGGAGGGAGGAAAGTTTTGTTTCACTCCAAAAAGCTGAAGAGAACTTCAGCCTAAAAAAATCAGCCATCGTTCTTTTTAGCCCTTCAACCCAAATTTCTCCTGGAGACCATAAATTAGTAAAGGTGCCCTGTGGTCTGTTCTGCAGAAAATAAACCAGCAGGTGTCCATTCAGAAGAGAAGCCAAATAGATTCTTGGCAGAAAGTGAGGTTGTTATTACAGCAGGAGAACAAAAGAGTAAAATCAAAAAATAGATTAGAAATGAAACTGCTCTTTCTTTTATTTCTTTTAAAATCACTGCACTGAGAATCCTGCAAGAAAATTAAGTGCCAGCCAATATTGCTCTTTGTCCCACAGTTTCCCTGGTTTACATTATTTTGGGCTAATCATGTTCAGGGCCTTTGTATCTTTGATTCCAGAGTTGGCCTAGTGGTACTGGGTCTGCGTGGACTGGGATGTTGTGGTTTCTCAGGCAAACTGCAGTGCAGATGGAGGGCAGCAGATGGGAGGGCACTGTGTGGCCAGTGGAAGGGGAAGACTGCCAACTTGAATGGCTGCCCTAACACACTAACACATGACCAGCCTGTGACTTTGGGCAAGGGTGGGCTTGGAATCCTGAAAATCAAATGATGACCTGCCACTGGGCACCTTGTGCTCCAATCTCATTCCTGAGCTCCAGCCTAATATATATAATATATGTGAATGCACATGCTTTGTAAAACTGGGAAGCAGTTTTCTAATGATGGTAGACCATTGCTTCCAGAACAAACACAAAGTGGTGATTTATTGGTGGGAATATGCGAATAAATTGTGTGTGCACGCATACATGTATGTGTACACATCTGTGTTGGGGTCTATTGCAGACGAGGAATCTTCCGATTCTGCTGCTGACACCCTGGCTTGCTGCTGTGTGCGGACAGGGTACCAATATAGTGACTGAGGAATATACGCAAAGCCCACAAAACACCAGCATGGCTTACATTGGGCTCCTCAAGCCTGCTGGTTGGCACTGATATGAGGTCCTGGTGAGGGTGCCTGAGACATCTTATCTCCTCCCAAATCTTTCCCATATTAGATGTCCCAACACCCCCACCAAAAGTCAGCAATGGGCCAGTCCACCGAGGTGAGAAACGCTGTCCCTGCCAGTCCCAGTGAAAGGATTCAGAGAACAAGCCTACCCTTACCCAAAGTCACGCCTTTTCTCAAATGTCTCAGAAAAATCTCCCAGAGCTACAGACTCAGTCATGGGAGCCACACGTTGGTGTCCTCAGACTGAGAAGAGAAAGAGAAGCCATTAAAGCACTGGGGAGTTTGGGGTTCTTTTTGGTGTGTGTAAAGGAAGACAGACAATTAACCATGGGTATCAGGGAACCAAAAAAAGACCCCAAAGAAGGTAGTCTATGGGAGGGACAGGATTTCAAAAATGAAGGGACAAAGAGCTAAGATTATTTTCACTGACACCACCCTACATATTGCCAAACACACACTCTTTCCATTGCTTCAGCCCATTCTCACCTACTAGGGTATCACCTTTTCTGTGACCCTTCCCAACTCCTTACCTCCTCCCAGGCACACTAAGTCACCCATCCCCTCTCTTCCAATGCACTCTGTGCCCTGACCTAGTCATCGTAAATCCTTAACTCAGTCAAAAAGACTTATGAGCAATCACTATGCGCCAGGCACAAAGATAAGCAGATACACAGACAAAGAGATGCAATACCTGCCCTCAGAGTGCTCACAACCTAATAGGGAGACAGACAAGTAAAAATATCCCAATGCAGTATGATTAGTGCTCAGTGGAAGTGCGCATGAACGTCAAATCAGACTTGGGACTCAGGAAGAGAACTTGGGCTTAGCCTTGAAGAGTACTGGGAGCTAGCAGTTCCAAGCAGGGGCTTGCTGCCTGGCAGAGGGAGGAGCATGATCAAAGGCCCGGGATCAGCAAACAGCAGGATGCACTTGGGAAACTGCCAGGGGCAGGGGGTGTGGAGGACCGGAGTCGTCTGGGGAGTGACTGGAGATGATGGCAAAGAAGTAGATGGGGATTGGATCAGCAGGCTCCCTCTGCAAATAATCCTGGAAGCCCATGAATGGCATCCATCCGGGGGTGACTCACTCAGATGGTTTGGTGAATTTCTTGAAGAAGATGCAAGCCAGATAGGAGGTTTTTAAAATAATCCAGGATGAAGATACCAATGGCCAGAAAGAAAGAAGTGGCGATAAGGTATAAGACATATGTGAGAGCTAGAACTGACTGGACTTTATTGGTGATGGGCTGAGGAAGGAAGGAAGAAGAAAAGTTAGCCTCTATCCAATTTGTGGCTTGGAAGATCAGAGAACAGTAGGACTAGTCCTTGAGATGGGAAAGTTGAGAAGAGGGGCAGAGTATGTCTGTGAAGACAATGAACCTGGTGCGTAATTGTGGGACACCCAAGTGGAAGGGTTTGAATCTGCTGCTCAGGAAAGAGGGCTGTCTGGGGAAGTCCTTGCAACCCTAACAGTGGTCGATAGCCGTGGGTCTGGGCCCTGAGAGAGCAGGCAGATTGAGGAGACTGAAGCATCCTAGCGATGTGGTTCTGTTCTCCTCACAGGAAACAGGGAGAGCAATGTTCTCATAAGAATCCAATGAGATCATCACGTTTTTGCTCATCACCTGAGGCTCAGAACACAGAAGAATCTACATGTGGCTTACCACTCTTCTTGTAAAAGTCACTTAGTTGGCGCTTGACACTGCTTTCTTAAAACAGAATTCTGTAATTTTCCTTCTCTTTGCAAGTTGAGATTTTACATGGACTAAAGATCAGTGAGGTACATTAAGGCACCCCAGCTGTTTTCTGAAATAGTCTTTTCTGCTGACTGACAATCATTTTTGACAATGGTCTTTTCTAGTAGTTGACAATTGTTTGACTGGCAAAAATAATATAATAAACAATGTATTCTAAAATCCCACCAAGTTGAGTTTACAGGGTAACAGAGAGCTCAGATGTATATAATAATTGTTGAATAGATTTAGACTGAAATTTTAAATTCTGACCTTCTTACCTTGTTATGCTTCAGTTATAGAAAAATAGGGTCTTCAGATATGATAATAATAATGCCATTATCATTGTTCTGCCCTCAAGTGAATTCCTGGATATGTCACTCTGGAGAGTTGCTGACATGTCACAAGGCTTCAGTAGAGTGGGGCTTACCATGCTGCCCTGTGTGCATCTTGCTCCTATAACTGAGATCTTTTTAAGTGATGTTTCTGGTTTTAAAGAAGAACAGAATCACACAGTCCCAGAAATTGGTCAGACTCCCAGTGTCAGAACCCTAACTGCTGTCCCCTACCTGTTCCCTTCCATCACAAGTGGCTTCTCCGGGTGAGTGGCAGAGGCCATAGGGATGGGTACACTGTGGGTGTCATCCTCTTCTGTTTTATGCAGCAGTGGAAGGATGTCTTCCTCAGCTGATTCAGCTAACTTCTTCTTACTCCCATGATGGGACCCCCCATCAATCAAGTTCCCAAAATTACCTGCAAAGGCAGTAGCAAGGGGACAGCGGTCAAGTGTCAACAGCAGAATTAGGCTCTTTGGCATAAGGAACCCAAGTTCATGTCCTCCCAGGACAAGGAAATAAGATCTCAGTGTGAAGGTGGGAAGAGCAATGTTCAGACCAGAGAAAGACCGATAATGACAATGAACCATACTCTGTATCTGTCTTATGTTCTCCTTTGTAAAAATGACTTAAATTACAGATTAACTGGATTCCATCTCCATTTCCTTCTGTTCCTTTAAAGGAGAGCTTCCCAAATGTGAATCAAGACCTTTTTGGATGGAATGCTGTTTCTAGGGATGGCTTTCCCAGCTACACGTCAGCACAGGAAGATTGCTGGGGGTCATAATAACAGCACCTACAATATGCATGACATTTTGCCTGCATTAACTCATTATACCCTTGCAACATCTCTATGAGGAGTTATTTCCATTTTATAGATGAAGAAACAGACCCAGAGAAACTAAGTGAGGCAAGGGGTAATGGAACCAGGATTAGCAACCCAAGTCTGTCTGAATCCAAGCTATACTCTGAATCCTTTTTTTTTTTAAGTATGGAAATAATTCTATCCCTTACATTCTGACACTAAAGTAAACAAAGAATTATCATTTTTTTCTGAGGTGAAAACCTCCAGAAGAATACTACATCTTTGCATAAGCCCCTAATTCATTTATTCAAGAAACAGGTATAAAGCCCATGCGAGGCACCAGACGCTGTGCTTGCCTGCACTTACCAATAGAAACTTCAAAGCTAATAGGTTTATCTCCAATCTTCCGGTCAATCATGGTAGCTTCGAAAAATGCTCCAAAGAGTAAAAATTCCTCATATTTTTCTGGCACGATCTATAGAAAGAAAAAAATATTAGAAACACCTGCTCTTTTTTTTTTTTATCACTAGGAAGCTGAATTAGTGATGCTAACCTAGTCCAGGGTATTTATAAAAGCATTTGAGTTTCAGTGTCAGCCTGAAATACCACTTCATTTCCCCACTAATAGGACAGGCAGGAATAAGGATCTACAAATCCAAATTCAGCCATGTACCTAAAATGCTGCAATCTCAACCTTCTGAGCTTCTACCTTACAATAAAATCTTTTTTTAAAGGTTGAGTCTGGTATGTATATCTTTCTAAGGTACTATTGTGAAACACAGGCTTGAAATCACCTTCTGGTAAGTAGGGGTTTAGAAAATAGTCACAGTTGATTAAACCCTTGCATTTGAGCAGGGTTTTATGGATTACACAGGGTCATCACATAGATTATGGTTGTTCCTCCTAACAACCTTGAGAGGTCAAAATCTCGATCATTCCCATTTTACAGATGAGGAAAGCAAGAAAACTAAACTTGAGATTGAGTTTAGTAACTTTCCCAGGCATTCTGTCCACAGACCTCATGCTCTTTGAACTCTAACGTGTGTTAAGCCTGTACCTTGGTGCTCACTCACAAACTTTACTTCCCCAAGTAACACAAACTCAGATCAAAGAAGGCAGAGGGTTAGCCGCTTGCATAAGCATCAGCCAATCAAGTGTATCCAGGATGGGCTAAAGCCCTGTGGTTACTGCTGTGAGGGGAGCACAGGTCCTGGAATCACCATGACTTTTACACTGAAAAGGACCTTAACTTCATCTGCTTGAACCTCCACCTTCTATCTGAATCAACTAAAGCTCAGAGAGACTAAGAGGCTTCCCAAGGTCATACAGCAGTTAAAGTTAGCCAATATTTGAGGCCTGGTATTCAACAAGGCTGCCTTCTTAAGGAGCCTACATTCAGGAAGACAGGGCTGTTACAGGTCACAGGGCAAGAGCCATCTCAAGGTAACACACAACTGTTTACAAATGACTCATACTGACGTGGACCAGCCTGATGGCTCAGGAAACAGATGTAGCTGGGACACCATGACAGAGCATCATGCTTCTGAGCGAAGAGGCTTAATGAGCTGGAGCCATAGTCTGTGCTTCCTGGTTTTACAGCTGGATTTATTAAACTAGGTGGAAAAAGCAATAAGGTTCATCTAAGGAAATAAAGCAGTTGTGGCTTCAGAGGTTAAGAGCCCTGAACCCTGCCCCTGAGAGCCCGTGGGTCTTAAAAAGGTAGCCCTTCCTTCAGACAGGAGCCTCCTGTGCTGTTGACAGCAACAGGAAATGTTTCTATTGACCAGAAAATGCTGGCAGGGTGGGGGCCCAGTGCTGGGTGTTAGTCACAGAGCGCACACCCTCCCACCTGCTGCCACTGTATCCACTCACTGTAAACAAACCACTTATCTCTACTTCCCGGACCAAGTTTACTCTCTGGGCAGGGGCTAAAAACTACTCAGAGACGTGGAGACAGTATAGTCCACATAGCCAGGAGGAAGGGTGGCAGGCTCCACAGCCAGACAAACTCGTCTTCAAATCCCAACTCTGCTACTTCCTAGCTGGTTGACTTCGGACAACTCATGGCTGTTCTTGGGGGGTCATTTTCCTTACCTGTGAAATAATCACAACAGAGCCTACAGGTGGGGGAGAAATGAGATTCTCCCTGTGGAGTGCCTAGTATAAAGCCTATACATATAAATGTCACAAAGTAGTCATGATAAGTATTTCAAAAGATTAGAATTCATGTCTTAATCCTCCCAATCCTTCAAGGTCCAGCTCAAATGCCTCTTCCTTTCGGAAGCATACCGTAACTTCCTGAGCTGGAGAAATGATGATGGTAATGTTTTCTGAGCTCTTATTACCTTATTAGATGAGGTATTAAAATTTTACCTACATTATCTCATGTAATTCTCATAACTGTCCTAGGAGGGAGGTATTTTTATTACACCCACTTATAGATGAGGACCCATGGAAGATCAAAGTGTCTGTCCAAAGCAACTCACATGACTAATATTCACTGAGCATTAATTATGTGCCAGGCTCTGTTCTAGTACTTTGCAGGTACCAGTTCATTGAATCCTCACTATGAGCCCACGAAGTGGAGGTTATTCCTGGAAGGAGTGGCAGCGACTTGCCCGAAGAGTCAGAGACTGTGCTCCTCCAGAGGCTGGGCTGCAGCCACTGCACCACACGGCCACATCTTAAACCCAACTCTCTGGACTGGGAACCCAACATTTTAATCATTATACTTTCCTCATCCAGGAAATAAGAGCACTTTATCTGTACTCTATTGCACTTCACTTTCTACTTCCTACACATTCATTTAGCAGGCCTTACCTACCCTTCTACACTGTAAATCCCATGGAGTCAGACTCTATTTTTATTCCTACCAGTGTTAAGGATGATGCTTAAACAAGAAACTATTCAATACATGTTGACAGGATTTAAAAACAACCCCATCTGTTAGATTAGCTACGCTCTATGAAAGATTGGCAAAGGGGAGATAGGCTTTGATTGTGGAGCTGAGGGTGAGCTGGGAAAACCAACATCAGGGGGTCTCATTTGTCCAGATATGCAATGAGCATGTGGCTGCAGCAAGGGAGACTGGAGCTTGAGGACCCTGGAAAGATTAAAGAAGAAGAAGCCACAGAGCTGTTGACCCTCTGGGGAAGGTAGGAGCACAGTGTGGTGGTTTTAAAAATGTTCCTAAATTCGGGGGGCGGAGCCAGGATGGCGGCGTGAGTAGAGCAGTGGAAATCTCCTCCCAAAAACACATAGAGCTATGAAAATATAACAAAGAAAAATCTTCCTAAAATAGAGACCACAGGACACAGGACAACATCCAGACCACATCCACACCTGCAAGAACCCAGCGCCTTGTGAAGGGGGTAAGATACAAGCCCCAGCCCGGCGGGACCCGAGCGCCCCTCCCCCCGGCTCCCGGCGGGTGGAGAGAAACCGGAGCTTTTTTTTTTTTTGGCGAGCGCTTTTTGGAAGCCTTAGAGGGACGGGCCCCCGTTGCTGGGGAGGCAGGGTGGCGGGACCGGTGAGGAGGTGCCTGGGAACGGCGCCGGAGGACAAAGAATATCCCGCGTTTCTCCCTGCGAGACCTGGGGGCGGGTGCCTGAGACCGGTGCCTGAGGACGGAGGAGGTCGCGCGTTTTTCCCTTTTTTTTTTTTTCTCTTTTTGGCGAGCGCTTTTTGGAAGCCTTGAAGGGACGGGGACCCCAGTGCTAGGGAGGCACGGTGGCGGGACTGGTGAGCGGGTGGCTGGGACCGGCGCCTGAGGACAAAGAATATCCCCCGTTTTTCCCTGCGGGACCGGTGGGCGGGTGCCTGAGACCGGCACTTGAGGACAGAGGAAATCGCGCGTTTTTCCCCTTTTTTTTTTCTCTTTTCTGCGAGTGCTTTTTGGAAGCCTAAAAGGGACAGGGACCCCGGTGCTAGGGAGGCAGGGCGGCGGGACTGGTGAGCGGGTGCCTGGGACCGGCACCTGAGGACAAAGAATATCCCGCATTTTTCCCTGTGGGACCGGTGGGTGGGTGCCTGAGACCAGCACCTGAGGACGGAAGAAATCGCGCGTTTTTCCCCTTTTTTTTCTCTCTTTTTGCCAAGTGCTTTTTGGAAGCCTTGAAGGGACAGGGACCCCGGTGCTAGGGAGGCAGGGCGGCGGGACTGGTGAGCGGGTGCGTGGGACCAGTGCCTGAGGACCAAGAATATTGAGCGTTCCTTCCCTGCGGGACCGGTGGGTGGGTGCTTTTTGGAAGCCTTGAAAGGACAGGGACCCTGGTGCTAGGGAGACAGGGCAGCAGGACCAGTGCGCGGGTGCCTGGGACCGGCACCTGGGGAAAAAAAAAAAAAAATCGCGTGTTTTTTCTTTTTTTTTTCCTTTCTGTTCCCTCTCTCATTGTTGCTGTTGTTGTTTTGGTTTGGAGAGTGCTTTTTGGAAATCTTAAAGGGGCAGGACAGGTCACTTAGACCAGAAGCAGGGAATCTGGGGATCTCTGGGCACTCTAACCCCCTGGGCAGCAGGGAGCACAGAGGCCCCTTACGGAGATAAATAGTCTCCTGGCTGCTCCCCCTCCAACGGGGCTCCACCATTTTGGAGGAACAGCCCCAGCCAGGCCAAGCCCACAGCAACAGCGGAGATAAACCCCAAAGCAACTGGGCAGGAAGCAGAAGCCCTGTCTGCGCACAGCTGCCCAGCACAAGCCACTAGAGGTCGCTATTCTCCCAGGAAAAGGCTACAAACCAACAAGAAGGGAAGCTCTTCCAGCGGTCACTTGTACCAGCTCTGCAAACTATCTCTATCACCATGAAAAGGCAAAACTACAGGCAGACAAAGATCACAGAGACAACACCTGAGAAGGAGACAGACCTAACTAGTCCTCCTGAAAAAGAATTCAAAATAAAAATCATGAACATGCTGACAGAGATGCAGAAAAAAATGCAAGAGCAATGGGATGAGATGCAGAGAAAAATGCAAGAGCAGTGGGATGAGATGCAGAGAAAAATGCAAGAGCAGTGGGATGAAGTCCGGAAGGAGATCACAGATGTCAGGAAAGAGATCACAGAAGTGAAACAATCCCTGGAAGGATTTATAAGCAGAATGGATAAGATGCAAGAGGCCATTGAAGGAATAGAAGCCAGAGAACAGGAACGTATAGAAGCTGACATAGAGAGAGATAAAAGGATCTCCAGGAATGAAACAACACTAAGAGAAATATGTGACCAATACAAAAGGAAAAACATTCGTATTATAGGGATACCAGAAGAGGAAGAAAGAGGAAAAGGGATAGAAAGTGTCTTTGAAGAAATAATTGCTGAAAACTTCCCCAAACTGGGGGAGGAAATAATCGAACAGACCATGGAATTATACAGAACCCCCAACAGAAAGGATCCAAGGAGGACAACACCAAGACACATAATAATTAAAATGGCAAGGATCAAGGACAAGGAAAGAGTTTTAAAGGCAGCTAGAGAGAAAAAGGT